ACATCCGTCTGGACGAAGACCAGTTCAAGGCCGGTGGTGAGCCCATAGCTCACATCCGCAGGGAGCCCAAGTGAAGCAGCATCTGGTCATGAAAGTACTATCTATCAGTCCTGCATCATGCCTTGTTGTCCTTCATTGTGTTTGTGTTTCGTGGTTAGGTGGGACAGTGAACAATCCGAAGTCTTCTCGTGGAACGCTATTTGTGCTGACCAACATCTTCTTCAAGAATGGAGCGCTTCAAGATGTAGTGAGCATGCCAGATGCATGGCCTCGAGTTCTTGCTTCCACGGGAGCAAGCATCGCACAGCTGCAGGAAAAATGGCGCCCGTGTCGACTGTGGATCTGGCAGGCTCTGAAGATCCAGCTGCAGCTAGATTGCAGACTTACTTAGAAGGTTGTAAAGACATAGCTTGTGCTGCATGCTTTGAACAGAATCAGCACTGTCTGAGCGGAACAGAATTGAATTTTTAGGTCATGGTTTCCGGTTTTCTGCGCTTCAAGAACAGCGAAACTCCTCGAGGCCGGTGGGCAACTGGGAGGCTGAGGGCTTTGAGGCTTTGAGGCTTTGAAATGTTGCGATGTGCGCAGGACAAGGCCTGTGTGATCCAAAGAATGGAAAAATGCCAAAAGAGTTGATGTCCAAGCCTCTTGACCGCAGGGCAGAAGGAGCTTTTGACCTGGCAACGACAGTGGACACGTAGAAGGTAAGAACGGGTACGCCTGAGGTATTTGGCAAGCTTGAGCAGCTGGGATCTCATGTCTGGACCCTTGTCCTGGTGCTATGAACTGCGCGACGTCCTCGTCAAGTGCGACCCTGTGAAGCCCGCACGGGGTTGTGTCGACATCGTGCTTCCCAGCCACTTGCATGCAGCATTTGCAGACCTGCAGTTAAAAGTCGCAAGGATGGCAAATATCAGTTAAATGTCGCAAGGGTGACAAATATCTCTTGGCTCCACTGGGCTCCACTGGGCTGCACTGGGCTGCACTGGGCTCCACACGGCTCCACGTGGGCTCCAGGGCCACTAAGCGGGCATCTTCGCTGCTTCGCTTTTTCTAACCTTGCAGGTGGGATAAAGGAGATGGTGCGGCCCAAGCTGGACAAAGAACCGCTGAGATGGCTTGCGCAGGCCTTGTGGGAGATCGGGCTTCCCTCAGGGCATGTCTCCTCTTTCAACTGCAGGACGAGCGAGCGGCCGAGATCGAAAGTACCGTAACGTCAGCGTCTCAGTCCCCCCGAAGGATCCTGAGACATTCCGAGGGACGGAGGCCTATCACGTGTCGCGAGCAGTCCATGCGCCATTGTGCGCACGTGGGAGTTTCATGATTTGTGGAGGTTCTAGGCAAGACAGCAGTTACCGAATCTAAGTGGCTTATGCGCCTTGAGCTGTATGGTTGCCCATGCAACCAGCGATGCCAACCTTTGCAAGGGCCGCCGGGCTAGGCAGCGACACTGCTGCATTCCAAGGTTTCCGACAGCAGCAGATGGAGTGTGGCTTGGTGGACATATCGGAAGACTGCGCCCATCAATTAGCTCAGCTTTCTGTTCTCAAGCCGCCCGACGAGGACACTTGACAAAGACAGAAGGAAGGGGAAGCCAGTGACTTTCACCAGAGAGGAAATTCTGGCAGCCTATGAAGCAGGACTTCCTGTTCTTCTTCACTGCTGTCACTGCTGCATTGAAATTATGATAGCTGGGCATGTTCATCGCTGGTACAGCCCATGCTTTACACCGTGAGACAGGACCTGTGGAGGGTCTTTGCCAGAAGCGAATCGACACAAATCCGTTCAGCCTCTTGGATATGGATTTGCTGTAGTCCGCTTGTGAGCAATAGATCAGAGCAATCAGGGAGGAAGGTAACAACCCCTCTCAGGCAATGATGAGCAGGACATGACATGGGCAGAGCGTCTATGGTCAAAGAACAAGAAGAATGTTGGTGTCATGGACTATGTACTCCTGGGTGTCTTGGCAGACCTTTACCTATTGCCAGAGTTTGCAAAAGCAGTTGTGCAACTCAGCAGGGTACACATGTCTGAGCTCGAACACTCGAAGAGTGTACTTCAGGCATGATGAAGACACATGAAGATGCATACCAGCCACCTTTCCACTTCATTGGGCTTAGTCCAACTCCATCTGGACAGCAAGCGAGTGCAACAACCTACGGGGGGGGGGGGGGGTGTCGCTCGCAGCCGGGGAAACACGAAGCAAGGAGAACAACAAGAAAAACTAGAACAACTGGAGCAACTAGAGCAACTAGAGCAACGAGAGCAACTAGAGCAACTAGAGCAGCTCGAGCAACTAGAGCAACTAGAGCAACATCAAAAACGAGAACAACACCACCACCTCCACCACCACCTCCGTCACTACTACAACCACCACCGCGACGACCACGACCGCGACCGCGACCGCGACCACGACCACGACCGGGGGGGCGGGGCGGCGGGGGGGGGGGGGGGGTAATAGGCCTGTTTTTCAATAACGCTTTTCCTGTTTTGAGTATTTTTTCTGCAAACCCGCCTTTTCGCTTGGGTGTTGAGCAAGCAGACGTTCAGAATCAAGCGTCCAGCTGTCCAGCAATCACCTTATTCATTGTTTAGGGCATATTTTTCGCTTAGTATGTGGTTTCGCTTGGGTTTGTCGTCATCAATTTTGGGGAAAGTCAATACGTGCGCGCATGGATGCTCTGGCCATCCGTACCCTATAGCACATGGACGTTGTCATCGTGCGGGCGTGGATGCTCTGGCCATCTGCACATATTGGTATATTGGTAACACGGATGTTATCATCGCACAGGCATGGCAGGGGATCGTCCAGGCTGGCGTATGCTGTATTTCGACCAAGAACCAGGTGCACAGCGGCGGGGGGGTGGGCACGGGAGTATTGAGAGCTCTGGCCAAGTATTCTCTGCCAGACCTCGGGATATTCAGCTTGGCCAGCTGAACGTACCTGCAGCTTTAAAGTTGCCGTTCGGAGACAAAGAGACTACGAAGCAACACTAGCTCACTATCGCCAGCACCATCGTTCTCATCAGACGCTTTCAGGTGCTCGTTAAAATCAGGTGCTTGACAACGAATTCGCTGAGTTTTCTTCAAAGACGAGTCGAGGCGCAGGTCGGATACACAAGTGTGTTCCGCTGCGGCAACTGAGGTGTTGACAGAGCAGACATGCGACTTGGCAGTGAATTATCAGTCGCAGCCGGGGAGAAGCAATGTCGTGAGGTACGCAGCCAGACATCAACAGAGTACCAGAAGACACTTGGACAGAGGTTGCAGCCTAGGTACACAAAGCAGGCCAAGGGTGAGTACGAGGGCTCCGTGCAAACAGAGATCCCCAGATCATTGACGCAGTGCAAAAAAGATGCAAACTATGGCAAGTGGCACGAAAGCAAGAAGGAGGTGGGGGTTCGAGTTCATCATGCTTCGTGATGTGCATTGTTCTCTGCGTGTTCTCTGTCAGGTGGCGAATTGGAAAAAGGCTCGTAAAGCATTCTTCGAAACCATGAAGGCAGTCATCGATTCGAAGGTGGCCGAGCGCCATGCCCTAGACTACACGTTGCATACGTTGCAGTTTGCGTGTTGGTCGGGTGCAACCTGCTTCACGCAAAGCTCGGGAGTGCTCAGCCTGTTGCTACGGTATTGCACTCAGGGACAACAACGCTGAATTCACTCGCCACCTGGTTTACTTCACATCGGCGATTGGGCCGATTGTGGAGGAAGCTTTCTTTATCAACGAAGCCTTGAATGACATGAAAGGCCCGGGGTTCAGCAGAGAATGCAGTTCTGTTGCGAGCAGTTCTGTTGCGCATCTCTGGAGCGCAGGCTATCTCGGGATCTGGGCCAAGACGAGCATGTTGTCCGCACCGGGTTCTTTGCTCAACTTGTGGCCTCCAAGAGACTTTGAGGCGAGAGGATGTCCCGTTTGGTTTGCGGGGCTGCTGGCAGAGTTGGCAGAGTGTAGACTGGCGGAAGGTGAAAGGCAAGGACAACCAGATTGTCGACTACAGCGATGGCAGCAAGATCAGTGAGACGGCGGGTTGCCTGTGAGTGCTGCATCACTAGCGGCAGTTGCTATCTCACGCGTTTCAGGGCTACGACATCTTCAAGTTCCTGAAGCCGAAAGATTCTCAAGAAAGCCCCTGGCCTGGATCTGAAGCATGCGTTGGACCTAAATAGGATTTCGGCGCCACTGAGGCTTTGCAGAACAGTTGGGACATGGTCAGGACTGGCACTTGCAAGAAGCACATCATGATTCCATGTAGGCCTCTGTGATGGCTTACCGTTTAGGACGGCATCATGTTGGTGACCATGCTGGAGTACATCCGACGAATCTCCGCCTGCTGGCCGAAAAGTCAAAAGTTCAGACTTTCAGCCTACGCTTGTTCTGCTTGTTGGTTTGTGTAGCGTGCCGCTGAAGTTGTGTGCGTGGACAGTATGATCCGTATGATCGTCACTCTGGCGTTTTAGCTGCCAAGCTACATGCCTACCTTGAACCTCACAATTCTGCTAGAGCACCTGGCGTTCTGGAAAGCAGAAGCCTTTTCTCTGAGGTAAGGCGGGACAAGAACACCAAGGTTCTGGTTGGTGTCTTCATCAGATCTGACATTCCTGGAGCAGATCTTGACTGCGATGGAGCGAAAGCCTCCCTCCAATTTGCACAAGATCTTTCTGACATGGTCGGCTGGACACGTTCACTTCCAGGTGTACTTCCCCACCTTCATCAGCACTAGTACTTCATGCGTACCTCAATGAGGTTGCTGCATACCAGAACAGATTAGTCCCTGATTGCCCACAATTGGTGGACACAGGATGTGTTTCTTGCACAAATCCAGACGTGGCCCGCAGATTCTGCATAGGCAGCTTCAGCACAGGCCTGCGCACAGTCTGACATCGAACCGTGCGGTTCAATCCCAACTCGTGCACTGCGAGTGCAAAAGACAAGAGGTAGCTAACGCCGTTAAAGACCGATCAAGAGCGATCCGAGTGCTGCATCTCTGCTGGCCAAGGCCGATGCACAACTTCGAGGCGCCTGGCTGCAGACTGGCAATTCCAGCAACAAGCCTGACGCGTGTGGTTAGTTCATGTGCCGATCAGTTTCGCTTGTCCCAGCATGCTGGATCTCGTTACTCGTGACGCCTGTGCTGTGCGCGTACGTGCCGTGGGGCACCTTAATGACTACCTTTTTCAGTGCAGTTCCTCCACAGAGCCCAAAGCGGTATCTTTCTCGCGTTACAATGTCCAGAGCTCGCTGCAATGACGACGACACACAATCGAACAGGATTCTGCGATCTCGGGCGATGAGGCGGCTTTCATTCGTCAAGAAAATCGTATGCTGAGGAGGTGCAGCCTACTTTTGAGCCACTTCACGGCGTACCATGTTTGCAGTGTTTGCCTTATCCGTCCTTCATGTGTGCTGAGCCAGGCAGCTGGAAAACCATCCAGAGGCTGAATGCAGAACACGAGTTAAATTAGCTTGCGATGGCTTATTACAGAGAACATGGTTCTCAGGTGCAGCGCATGATCGCAGAGAACTGGGCCCTCCGCCGCAGCCTCAAACCTCGTCCTGTCGAGTCCAAGCCAGACATCTCTCAAGCAGGTGAGGAGCTGGGAGCTTTAGATCCCACAGGCATCCCTGGAGTCGGCACCATGGTGCACCCAAACCACATGTGGCACGGCGTGATGTTGTAATCTGGCAGGCTGGCCACGAGTTCTTGGGCAGCGCCGGCCACAGAAGCATCTTCAGAAGCCTTCTATCACATTGTTCAACCCCCACCCCCCCCCCGCCCATATAATAAACAGCAGCCGGAGCACCAGCATCAGCTGTAAGTTCAGCCAGGCCTGGTGTTGAGTGGACGCTACGTAGAACTGCTCTCTAAGGCCAGTGTTGCCTGGAGATGCCTCTCAAGGCCCAGCAGGGTTCGAGTACATTCTGAATGCACGTTGTTTTCCGTCTACTTCTGTTGCATGTTATCACCCTGCACTGCCCCGCGCTTGCACGACTCGCCTTGGGTGACTCGAGTGTAGGCTTGAGAGATGGCGAGAATGGCAGAGCGCCTCGGCAAACAGCAAGGAGCTCCGGCTGCTGTAGTCTTCGCAGAAAACCCACAAGCCAGGCGGCGTGGCTGGTGAAATATTTATTATCTCAGCAACAGACCCCTAACAGCGATGGATAAGCGCACAGATTGGGGTTATGACAGTGTATGCCTAAGTAGGAACCGGCTATTCTGCTGTCCTAAACTCCTACATCTGGTGACCGCTTTGGGGTTAACGGATTGCAAACCCGTAGGGTATCCGCTGTTGGGGAATACAGTGATGGCAAACGCTTGCGCGCGCCGCCTTGGCAGCCGGGCTCGCCCAACGCGGGGTGGTCACGAGTTCAGGAGCTTGGAGGGCGGGGTTGAAGGGGGTCGGGTGACACAAAAACGAAGGGTCCTAGGACTTTGTTGGCGTGGTCTCTGTGGGAGGGGCCCAGGGCCTGGAACTCTCGCGGCATCGGATTGCGGCTCCTTCAAGCGGTGTGGGGGGACAGCAAATTTCGGTGGGACCAGATCCTGGACTGTCTAGACGCCCTCTCGGCCAGAAGCCTTGGCGAGTATGTATTTCTAAGATGTGGTTATCCACCCCCACCCGATGATCTGGCGAATGTTTTTTTCAGGCTTCGGCACAAAACACCGACAAAAGCGCACGGAAGTCTATAGTCTTCCTTCAGGCCCTATGCTTCCCTCCAGAACCCCAAACCTGAAGAACACCAAAACCAGTGGAGCCGGAGAGTGCTGATTTTTTGGTTTGCTTGGCAAAAATCAGGAAAAAAACGCGTGATTGTTGTCTTTTTTGAGTCCTGGGGGCTGAACAGCCGAGATTTTTGTTTTTTTCTTGACCCCCGTTTCGGGGTCCAAAACCAAAAACCCATGTTTTTGGTTTTTGCTCAAAAAGGCCAAGAAAACCTCGCAAAAACCAAGAGTGCAAACAATGCCCTCCCGGGCTCCATTGGGGGCGCATGGCGGCATCACCTCTCCCCACACCCCCAAAGCAAAAAAAACCAAAAGTTGAAAGCAATGGAGCCGAGAAGGCCGCTGTTTTGACAATTGTACCTGCACGACTTCATGCAATTGTGACGATGGGAGAATCGCCTGTGTGAGTGTGTTGCATGAAGTCTGGGCAGCTGCCGAGTTTACCGAAATCTTGCAGTGCAAGGTTCTGCCATCACCGCCTTCCATTAGCTCGGAGGTCCTAGTCCCGATTCAAGCTGAAGACGAAACAAGGAACAACGCGGCAAAAGTTGCTTCAGGTTGTGGTCGCTGGAGCCGAAGCTGATGATGACAGTTCGCCCGCAACCCAGCAATCTCTTTATCCGTCGTCCCGATTGCTTGCCTCCCTGGTTTTCTGCAGGAGCAAAACATGGTTCTATTTCCAGAAGATGGCAAAGGACGCAGCGTGCGCAACATCTGCGAGTCTGTGTTTATGGCTGAAGGTTCTAGGACTCCGTTGCCGTCGTCCATCATGAAGCTTCCCTGCGTTGACCACAGGAGGTTGAGGAACTCATGCGGGCCAAGGACACAACTGCACAGGGCCGGAATGTGTTATCACTGTGGTAGGCCAGCATGTTAGGAGAGCCTCTCACGTGCAATTGAGCGGGCGCGGCAGAAAGAAGCTGGCGCGTGTCCTGGAAGATCAACTGAGTAGGCACCAACACTCTTGACAACGTTTTTGAGGCCCAGAAGGTGATGGCACAAGCCAGGCGGGCTCTGTGGTCACCACAATGTATCATCTTCACGGCAGGGCTTCACATGGCAGCAAAGTGCACCTGCGCAGCGATATGCTTCGACAACAGCACAGCATCAGTGCGGTGTCTCACGGGTGCCTAGAGCTGCTTTTACCTTCGGGCCGAGGTCGCCAGCGCAGTGTTTGTGCCTGAGTATTCCGAGAATGCCTGAACGTTTACAGCTCCATGTTGAAACTTGCAGCAGCTCTCTGTCCTAAGCAAATCTCGGAATATTTCCATGGAGGCAGAGCTCGCCAAGCCAGCCTTCGAAGGATTTCACTGCACTGACGCTGAAGTAGACTTGGCAGGAACGAGATTTTACCTGCAAAAAGAAGGACACTTCCAATGCAGTTCCAGCCTCCTTGGTGCTGACCCCATATGCCACGGACGCAACGGACCACTGCAAGTGGCCCTACAGCAAGCTTCGAAGCCATGCAGCTGAGGTCGTGGAGTTAGACATCGCTACGCAAGAAGCTCTCAAGCAGGATTGCCTGCGTTTCCAACATGCATGCCCGCAGAAGGTCAACAAGTCGGCAGTACTCGCGGAATCACAGTAGCTGCGACGAGAAAGGCGCCGCAGCTTTCATCTTGTTTTCATTTGTTTGTCGCAGGCTCAGGGCCTTCTTCAGGGCCCTGGCTGTGCCCGGCTCCCGGCTGTCACGGCAGCCGGTGCTGCAGGACGGCGAGGTGCCAAGGAGGCGAGGGGCGAGGGGCCGAGGGCGGAGGGGCGAGGGGGCAGCGAGGGGGCGGCGAGGGGCGACGAGGGGGCGAGGGGGCGAGGGGCGAGGGAGAAACTAGAGATAAAGAGACTTGAGATGTCTAGAGCGCATGTCCGTTGATAGAGGTTGAAGGATGGATTGTACTGCAGTACTGCAGAGAGTGTCAGACAGTGGACCGCGAGTTGGGGGTGAGGCAGGACCAACGCGCTGGGTTTTGGGAGCTGAAGGGTATTGTTGGTGAGCAGGTGTGGGATGCCGCGCTGGTTCCAGACGCAACAATGCCGAAGCTGGGGAAACCCCCCAAAAGCCCTAAGAAAGAAAGGAAGGAAGGAAGCAGGGAAGAAAGGTGAATGATTGACAACGAAGCCTGAAGCTGCTCTTGCGGCAGAGCTGTCACGGCGAGATTATACGCAGTAAAACCTGACCAATAGTGGGCGCCGCTGTTAGGAAGAGAGGCGCAAGTCTTGCCCAAGTTGCAAGTTGCAATTTTGCAGGGTTAAACCTCCACATCTCTTCCGCCTCTAACTCACTTCTGTCGAAAGATTCTGATTGACAAGTGCGGGGCGGGCAGGTAGATGAAGGCCGCTCTCCAGAGAGAGGACGGCAGAGTTTGCACAGTTTCTGTGATCCAGAAGCAGCCCTGAAGAGCCTGCCGAGTCTGTCACGTCGACCATGAGCTCAGAAACCGCAGGATAGCTGTTTTGACATCTGTTCGGATATCTTGCACGCCTCTGCCTCCACCCGAAACATGTGTATCGCAACGCACGCCAGCCTCAGGAGAGTTCTCTCTCCCGGAGCAGGCCGCTGCGATCGTCGTTCTGCAGGGGGAGGGTACTGGGGGAACTCTTTGTTTCTCATGCAAGAAAGGCTTTTGTGGTTGAAGGGTGTGCCCTCTCTGTCTCTCTCTGTGTCCGTCTCTGCCTGTGTGTGTGTGTCCAACCGTTAGACAAAGCAGCGACTGGGTACTTCTGAAGGCTCAGTTGCAACTGACCTGAGAGAGCTGCTTCTGACGATGCAGATTAGTTGCAGATTGATCTTGGCTGTCGGCCGTGCCATGTTGGAGATCTTGGTGCTACTGCCACTGGCCGAAACAAAACACACATCAGAAGCCGAACAGGTCCATTCATCCGAGAATCAGGGCCGATGTGCCCACTTGGACGAAAGGGATGCCGAGCCATGTCAGCACAGTTGCAGACTTGCTCATGTGTACTGAGGAACCCGGGAAATTGACCACCAAATAATCATGCGAAGGAAAGCAAAAGACATGTCGAACCCAGCGATCAACCATTCAAGATGAGTCACAGGTGAACTCGGAGTTGTCTCGATTTTAACCGTATGAATCGTGTGCGTAGAACTTGACCGCTCGGGTCACGTGTGTGGATGCGCATTGTAAAGTGATCCCTTGTCTTGATTAGGCTTGGGACCTTTAGGTGTAGCACTAAACTTCAGACAACATGTCTCTTAATTGAGCCTGTGCATCCACATGCATGCAGGTGGGGTCGGCGCCATGCGACGACGAAGAGCGCTTCAAGCAGGCTCCCGCAACCGGTAGATGAAGTCGTCGCTGTCAGTTCCGGACATCTATTGGTAGTTACATGGTGTTCGGAGCTTTGTGTGACGTTCCAGATCCCACCCACTGCAAAAGCGCTTGCGCGGAGGTAGCGACAAGTTATTGTTCTGGCTCATGACCCCTTTGCCAGAAATTGCTGCAGAGAATGCTTTGGCAACTAGAACAAAGGGTTGGAGGCTGAAAGAGGACGCCCCATCTACGATCGGCATGCTGCCACGACCAGGCTGTACAGCGGATCAAGAAGCTGCAGGGCACCGTGCAATCCTGAGAAAATCGCCCTTTCGGCTCGAGTCATCTCGTTTTGTCTTCCTAACTTCTCCTCTTGCAAGTTCTTCCTCGCATTGCAGTTTACCGCTGGTACATGCAGGTGGACCTGATCAGTGCCGCTTATGGCGACGCGTTTGACGAGTTCCAGCGCTTGCGAGAGGCACAAGACTGAAATTTCTTTCCATAGCGACTAATCTTCAATCAGCAGTTTCAGGCGTGGTTTTTGTAGTGTTTTTTCGCATAGGCTCCGGGAGTGATGCACGTTCCATTCTCCATTCCCGCAGTTCTCTGCAGAGGAGTACGAAAGTCGGCTGGAGGAGTGCCAATTCTTTGAGCTCCAATGCAGTCGTCCTGGCCTCCGGATTGCGCTGTCAAGCGAATGCGAACACCGGATGGAAGACAGCAATGGTGGCGTTGGCCGAGGTCTGAATCTCACATGCCTGGATCTAGCTGAAAGGCGGGGGCACTTTCGTTTGCCCCCAACCCTGCCCCATCCTGTAGCCTCTACGTGGACGAGGCTGAGTGGTGGCAAGAGCGCTATGCGCCCACGCCCCGGCAGCAGGCTTAGTTGTCCGGGTACTGCCAATATCTCGTAAGAATCGCAAGAAGAATCTATCCAATGACATGAATCTTGCACCGCCTCCAGGGTGCCAGTGCTCAATGTTAAGAGGGGGGTGCGGGGTGGCGACCTTGAGTCGACCTAGATGAGAGTTAGTAGGCGGTGCAAGGTTTCCTCCATCCACCGACTTAAAGGAGGCTCCTTGAGAGCTGACGCAGCTGTTGATCCACCGAAGTGAGTCGCACCTTACTGGGCAGCTAGAACTCGCTTCTCGATTTGTGCATGTCATGCTTGCGGAGGCCACGCAAGTCTTCTCCGTGTCGTTCCATGTGTATCACGTGATCCACAAAGGGAATCCGAGTCAAAAGGCTCTCAAGGTATCGAAAGTACATGTCCGGCTTCTGCTATCGTTGACTGTGCATTCACAGTCAACGTTACAGTCAACGTTGCAGTCTTCCTTGCTGAAGCTGGCAGCACCCGCAAATCCATTTTTCACTATACACACCAAACAAATCGGTTTTTTGCCTTCAAAGCTTAGACACCATGGAGTTGCTGGCCTTAGAATTTCGGAAACGTTGACTGTGACGCTGACTGAAGCATCGGCGTTGACTGAATGCTGACTGTGAAAACACTGTCAATGCGGACTTTGAAGGCTTTGACTCGACTTCCCTTTGAACTTTGTGGATCACGCGATGCACTTGGAACGGCGCATAGGAGATTTGTGTTGTCTCGCAAATAGCGAGTTCTAACTGCCCACAGTATGGCGCGACTCGAAGCATGACATGTGCATCTCCAGAAGCGAGTTCTACTTGTTTAGCTGCCCACAGTAAAGCGTTAATCACAGTTGTGCCAGCTCTCAAGGAATCTCTTCAATAAAGTCATACCCAGCATGGGCTGTGGCTCAGCTACAGCCCATCGTACCACCCTTGCCACCCCAACCGCCCAACCACCCCCCACCCCATCCCTACCCTACCACATGCACACCCACCCCCGCCCAGCATGTAGGGTTTGCTGTGCTGCCACCGAGGTCTTGGCTCGTTCTAGGGGGACCTGGCTGTTGTGTTACGCGCGGGAGTCAAAACCTTGCTATAGCGAGGTTTGGTTTTCCAAAGGGGGTGCATGGAAACTCGTCCTTTGTATTATTGTGGTACAGATTTAGTACATGAAAACGCCTCTCGGAGTTTTGGGCCTGGAAAGCGTTCTTTGTACAAGTTTACTACAGGAAACACCTCTTGGGGAAAGCGCCTCTCGGAGGTTCTAAGCCTGGAAACATTCGTTGTGGTACAAATGTCGTACGGGCAAACGCTTCCCGGAGCTCTGGCCTGGAAACTCGTGCGTTGTCATAATTTGGTACACGAAGTCCGTCTACTCTCTCACCATCTACGGTCATGGGTTAAGGGTGGGTCTCGGTGGGGGTCTAAGGGGTGGTGGCGGGGGTCCACACCCGGCCCGTAAGTCAGTTCCGGCTATTCTAGCCAGTAATATTTCGCCTCCGGTTGTACCCAACCGTAACTGACTGACTTGATATCTGTATGAACACTTCCGTGCATACTGTACTTTCGACATTTCCGCTTCGCCAAAGAGAAATGAACAATCAGGCTGAAGATTAAATGGTGGAGACGTCATGCTTTTGACAATGTTCAGTGGCCGGGGTCTGGGGGCCCAGAGGTGCTAGATGTGCTAGTTTGGGTGGGTTAAGGGGTGGTGGGGGGTGCTGGGGGGGGGGGGGTCTAGGTGTGGTGGGGGTTAAGGGGTGGTGGAGGTCTAGGGGTGAGGGGTGGTGGGGGTCCATGGGGTGGTGCTGTTTTCCTGGCTATTCCTATAGGTTGTCCTGTAAGTAATTCTGCTTAATTTGCCAAGCTCTGCCAGAACATAACATGAAACATGGAATGCATGACTGCGTGCGTGTAATGAAGTACTTGCAGCTGATACGGGCTTGCACCCCAGCACTCCAGCAGTCGTCTCAGGTTTCAGTACCACGGGCCTCTGGCATTCGCAAACCGCAGTGGAAAGGCAGAAGCGAAGCTTCTCCATGTCGCAGCAGACTCACCTACTGCAAGTCATGATCAAAACGCTGGTACCGTGTTTGATGGTGAGGTCCTTGCGAGATGCGACATTCTGGCAGCAGCGCTTTGAGGCTCGTGGGAAGTTGCATGTCTTGACCTCACAGACCGTCGCAGACGTCCAGCCCTTCCAGGAATTGAGAGAGCTGACTGGAGCAGACCCTCTGCCGGAAGACCTGAGCGTGCTTTGGCTGCACTGCTCTCTGTGGGTTTGCCATGCTACTGCTGCCAAGCGACATGCAACGCTCTGTACGACCAGCTAAGTCAGCTAAGGTCACGACGGAGACGCCTGCCCGGCTTACCGGGTCTTCTGCTGGATCCACTCCGTGGATGCTGGCCATTCGGCCGAATTTTGACCTGCTTACACATGTCTGCAGGGAAGAGCAACTTCGTTTGCCTGTCAGGGCGACATCGACTCTGGCCGCTCCATGATTTCTTCTGAGGTCTTTGAAGGCTGCCATGCAGTGGCTCGCAGAGCAACACGCAGCACATGCCCACCCAAGAAGTTCAGGCTCTGTGCCAGAGCGGCGTGTACAGTCCAGCTCGTTGTCTGCGCTGCGGAGCGAGAGCAGGTTCGGCGGTCTCTTCTTATTCGGCCACTAGACAAAGGCATTAGCGTCATTAGAGCCAGGCATCATCTCGAGGGCTCCTTGAGGTAACTTTGAGCTTTGTGCTGACATGTCCCCCCCAGAATTCTAGAGATACATTCTGGCCGTAGCTTCGCTGCACCTAATTTTCATGTCATTGCTCGTACACACGATTGCGATGCACCGCCCCGCCTCTCACAATGGCGCTCGTAATCTGGCTCGTAGCAGTAGCATGTCAGTGCGACTCATAGAACCGTTGAGAGAATGCACACACCACAGTCCATGATCTTGTCGAGGTATGTCGAGGTGTGTGTGGATGCACTTGATGCAACTGCACTCTGCACTCAGCACAGAGAAACTGCCGGCTTCTGCTTCTGAATGTCGCGAGCTTCTACGCATCGGTTGCCATTGGTCGGACTAAGTGGAACAAGAAGCATACTGGCACGATAGTGCGCTGTCCAATACTGGGCCAAGCATGGACACACATGAAGAGGGAGAAGAGGGAGAAGAGGAAGAAGAGGAAGATGAGGAAGATGAGGAGGATGAAGAAGATGAAGAAGATGAAGAGGCTGGGTCAGTGCACAGAATGTGCGCATGCATATGAAGACGACTTTGAATTTCAGACATTTTGAGGCGCCAGAGGGCATCGACTTTGTGCCATCAATGGAGGCCAGAGAACCCCGTTCCTTCAATCCTTCTATCCTTCGCACCTTTGCCTTAGCCCACTTACGGAGCTGACGCAGCCCCTTGACCCGTAAAGAAAAGGGATCAGCAGAACAACCAGCGCGGCGCCCGAAGTCGCCAACATGCAGCACCTGTATTTGTCTAAGCCTCCGAGCGAACATGACCCTCGACTCCGCAAAAAATCACGCTTGGCACAGAAGGAGGGGAGGAGTACCTCCCCGCTGAAGATGTACTGTAATCTATAAGACTGGTTCAGCATCCCGAACTATTGTAGAGGGCTGTTGCATAAGGTTCATGCATGGGTATCAGAGATCTGTGGCGAGGCTCCACTAGAAAATCGTCTCGGGCGTGCCCTACGCCTGGAAGAGCTGCCGCCCTTAGCGGCAAAGCAGTTGCAGGCTGGCCTACTCTTTTCTGCCAGGTCACGCTTCAGGGTCCTTTGTAGGCGAACGCTGGCTCAGGCCAACTATGGCATCGGCTACGCGATGCTTGCCGATGGCTTGGTCTGGTCCAGGTTGTTGTCAGAATGGTGTAGTTGTACACTGTTTGTGCAAGGATGACTTGCAGCGCATGCAGTGAGCCATGGAACCTCATTCCGCGGACTAGGTCAACATGGGCTATTCAGGGGGAGGTCGAACTCCTCTGTGTGGAGTGAAGCGCATGGCTCGTGCCGGGCTACAAGAAGATGAGGCAGGGCCGCCAAGGGCCAACTCTGGGTTTGACAGAGCTGCCAAAGCGAGCTTTTAGGCGGCTTGAGTCCGGGCCCGTTGAGTCAGGCCATGGTTGTTGACGCTACGATGAAGCGAGGAGTGAAGCGGAGGTGAAGCGGCTTGTGTTGATTTGCATAGCTTGTCACAGAGATGTTGTGTGCGTTTTTGAACCATCTAAGCACACAGACGAAGGGGGTCACTCCCATAATGATGCAGAGGGTGACACGGCCCAACGAAGCTACCATAGCTACCAATGATGTGGGATGCCGGAGTTGGCCTTCACACTTGCCATTGTCTAGATGTGCATCGTCCTCGGCAGCAGCACAAACATGCTGGGCTGCTTGCTTTTGCCAGCAACACAACTGAGACACAACTGAGGCATTGCAGTATGTTTCGTGTGTGAGCATTGCAGGCTTTGCTGCAGCAAGTAAACACGACAGGATGGAGCAGTGGGCCAAACTGGACGGCCAAAGCTGCCAGTCAGAGGCTGAGGAGACCCAAGAAGAGAGCCCTGGGCTCAGGAGACTTTGAGGAAGGCTTTTGAGCCCAAAGCCACCAGCCAGTGACAGCCAGTGCCCAGCCCAGGCTACGAGGAGCTTTGCGGTCTTGGGAAGGCCCTCGTTCGAGAGCTTCGCTCAACCCGTGCCGCTTCTCCCCATTAGCGAGTTCAATGAGCCTGAAGAAATCTGAACACAAATCAAGAGAACGTATTTCCTGAGCTCATAATTTGCGATGACATGAGGACAAGAAGATGAGCATCCCGCAGCTGGCGAAGAAGCCCAGAGTCCTCAGGCCGGCGACACTGTCCAGTTGTCCATGAGATTACTTTCAAGCACTGTGCTGCTTTCAGGGTGCTCGATCTGTGGCAAATCGAAGCCGATTTTGAGCGCTTCCTGAAGCAGTTCGTTCGCGATGAGCTCCAGTCCATCTGTGAGCTGGTACGATCATCAGGACTGGCGACGACTTGCTGCTCAGGCCCTTGCCAGACGTCAAGTGGTTTGATCCCAACGCAGGAATTGCGATCAAGAAGATCACCAACAAGACCTCGCGTTTTGCGCGAGCCTGTGAGGAGGTGGGGGGCAGATCATGCCATCGCAGCATCCATGGATAGTCACAGCTTCGGGGTTGCAGAACCATGTTACCAGCGAGGCGTGGGTGGTTCACTTGAAGGGCCACAAGGCAGGTTCTCAGCGTCCCGACACTGCCCCGGAAACCGCGCAGCTGTGGTGTCCCACCACAGTCACGCGCAAGTCAACGCACCATTCACCACCCTTCATCATACACTTCATCACGGTTCATCACCATATGCACAGGTCAAGCCTGGGGCGAGTACAGGGCCCGAAGGCGGCCTGTTACTCAGTTCTGCACTAATTCTATGCTGTACAGTGTTTCTACAGTTTCCGACGTCCAATTGACATAATGTCTGAGGCACCAACGAGACCAGTCCTTCACAAGGCACCAGCGAGCCTTGATTGACACATCCGGGTTTTCGCTGGCTTAGCTCCTCCCGCGGAGTTCTGTACACCCGAAAAAGAAAGCTCTTCACGCCGGACTTGTAGATACTACATCTCTCGCTCAGGATAGCCTCTACCCTGACGATTGGGGAGTGGACGTTGGCGCAGGCTCATGTGTTGAGGTTGTTAAGTTTTGATGACGTTTGAGAATGTTGTGATTGTGCTCTCGTGTGCTCTCCGATGACTTCTGTTCAGGATGGTTAGCGCAGCCAGCTCCGGAAGCAGAGCCTGTGCCATCACTCTACGGCCCCCTGCGGTTGTGAACTGTGGGATCCTCCTGCTACAGACAGGATCTGTTTATATCTGCAGCCGTGCTCTGCGACATGTACACAGTCTTTGGCGTTGCTTTGCGGCGTTGGCTTGGCCGGCCAAATGCACCCAAGCCGTCGTATGCCACAGCCTACAATTCGTGGATTCACTCTCTGGGTGCTGGCGATACTCGTTATTATCCAGAATTCAGCCATGCAAAACCATCACCCAAGCGAGAAGAAGGCCACAAGCAAATATCTTGCAGGCATGCAGCCAACCTGCAGCCAAAATGCAGCCAAAATCAGTGCGAAACTGAGGGACCTTGGATGTTTGCATCATATCTGACACTTGACGAGGCCGCAGCTGCAATGCGCAGGCACCTTGCAGATGGAACTGCGATTGTCTGAATCTGGTTCTCTTTCCCCGCAATGTGCTCAGAGGACAATCACCGGCAGATGACTTGCTGCGGTCGGGCTTGGCCTGTTTTCGTGTCTCTCTTTGTAGCTGGGTCCTGTCGCTAACGATGCTGGTGTCAGGATTAAGGAGGTTATCTTTTTCGGTTTGGTGTCAAGATAGCTTTCTCTGGTGTGAGACGTGACTCAATGTTGAAGCATGTAAGGGTGTTCTTCGAGCGTAGAGTGGAAGGATTTGCTATGCTTTCTCCAGCCATATTGGCTTTTCTGATTCTAAGAGAGAGAGAGAGAGAGAGACAGAGACTTCTCTTTGCTCAACTTGAACATTACTTGCCGTCATGAGCAGCAGCAGCAGCAGCAGACTGCAGCAGACAGCCGATTGAGTCAGCAGCTGTCGCATGAGCGCCTTCACACCGACTACTTGCAGCAGCGCGATGGCAACTTGTCGCAGATGCGCCGTCCGTCGAGATGTTTAAGGCAGAGCCAGCTGCCAGTACTGACTTCCGTGATGGAGATGGCTACGACCTAGTGGGTGACTGCTGCTCTTTGGTCGGGGCCCTGGCCCTGGATGCCGACATCTTCCAATTTTCGAGTTGGTTTCGTTGGTTTCGGACAGCTTCTGCTCCAAGAGCCGAGGAGACTTGCGGGCTCCGGGACTTTCTACCCTTCACCTGCCCTCACTGCAGCCGCAAGTTCTGCCAAGACCATGCTGCCCCGGCCAAGCACAGCTGCGGCCTCGCACCAGTCTCCCAAGGCTGCCGGAAACAGTCCTCTGAAGCTCTCCGAACTTTCCAGTTTTTTTTGCCAGATTTGAGAGCAACAAGTTGAACAGTTGCTTCCTCAGAGGCATGGTTGCTGCCGTTTGCCCGCGCTGCGGAATCACTGTCAAGTGGGAAGATGCAGCTTCCAGCGAGCGCGAAGCAATGAACGAGCACTTCAAGGCTTGGACGGCACTGATCTGTCTCTCTGTCTCTCTGTGTCTCTCTTTGTCTCTCTGTGTCTCTCTGTGCCTCTCTGTGTCTCTCTGTGTCTCTCTGTGTCTCTCTGTGTCTCTCTGCCTCTCTGTCTCTCTGTCTCTCTGTCTCTCTTTATGGCATCTCCTTTGTGAGGCGTGCAAGCCCGTGCCTCAAGAAGATAAAGAGAGTCTTCGGCTGCTCTGGCCCTACGTGCTTGGACGTAGCTGGAGACCGCCGGCGAAAGACGGGACGTGGCAAGTGCATTTGTTGTTCGATGCAACTCAGGATTTGTCCTGCCGAAGGCTGTAAGACCAAACTGAACACAATGAACTCAGTGGTGTGCTCCGAGTGCAGGGCCAAGGCCAGGAAAGGGCGCATGAAATCTAGAATCTAAACTCCAGACATGGTCTTGAACGCTTTTGCTGTTATTGAATTCACGACGCATGGTGATGGACACTAGCATGGACGATGGTCTAGTGTGCTCTGATGCTTCAAAGCTGTTGCGGTCAGGTGTGCCTGAAACACCGCTTTGAGGACCAGGGGATGTCGGACCCGAATCAAGCCGATCAAGCTTCAGAAAGATCCTAGATTTCTAGACAGGCCTTGAAGTTTGCAGTAGTCTAAGCTCTAAACTTGACTCTAAACACTAGCTGCTGCTCCTCTGCAGGACCAGCATCCTTGTCGTGAGAGTAAGGGACAATGGCTTGCGAGACTTTCCGCCTCAGACGGCCCAAAGCTTCTTGCTGGCTTTATGGAGGATGTAGCTGCTTTGGACACTTAAGCAGCCGATGAAGGCGGCAGAATCAGACGGCACAACGGTCTGAGGACAGCTTTGCGGCAGAGTGGCGCGCAAAACTGGGGCTCCGGTGTGAGTGGGACGCGGTCTGCACACACAGCACAGCATGGTCAGGCGAAGCTGGGTTTGTTCATTTTTTTGCCATAGGAGCTAAGTTTCAGACTGAGCAGCTGTCAGTGTGTCTCCGCGTTGGTTTGCATTGGTCTCATTCTACGCTGGGAGTTTTGGGAGCTGAAGAGTCCAGGATGAGTCCAGTCTCAGGGTCGGCAAACTGGGCTCTTGGTTTTCTGACTCTAACCGAAGCCAAGGACAGGTGCCAAAGAAGTGCCGCAAGTGCCGCAAGCGGCACAGGCCCGGCTCTTTTGAACCCTTTGAAGTTGAACTTTTTTGAACCCTTTCATGTTGAGAACATGTTCGAGAGCTTCTGAAAGTTGCTGTGTTCTGCTTCTCATACTCTTTGGATCCTCGGTGACCCGCATATGTGCGGCATCACACACTTGGCTTCGCAAAGCTTTGCAAGAGCTGCATGCAAATGCATTACATAAAAGCATCGCAGGAGACTTCCGGCCCAAGGCTGCTGGAGCTGCGGAAGGCTCTCGGAGCCTCGGAGGAGGTGAGGGAATCTGCGAGAAGAATGCTTCCGGTGCGAGAAATATGTTCCCGAGTTCTCCGTCCCCCGGAAAGCACTGCGCGAGGCCAGCCTATGTGTGTCGACTCTGCGCCGCGCGGTCGGAACAGTACTTCCCCCCGACGTCCTGATTCACTGCAATTTTTCACCTTGGTTCTCTTGATGTCCGCTCATCGAGGGGTAAGTGGTGCTTGTAGACGCAACTACCGCAAGTGGTATGCAGATATGCAAAAGACCGGAATTGGGGGGTACCGCCCCACCTTTGCCTCTGATTTTGTCGGCCTAGCACCGAGCGAGACAGAGCAAGCAAACGTCTCAATGTGCAGTCAGGCAAGCTGCTGTCCAATGTTGCCGCTGATCCTCACAATCCCAAGTTCCGCAGCGTCAAGCGCGAGAACAAGGTGAGGTCTGGCACAGTGCGGCTCTAGTCGATAGATCTCAGAGCAGCAGGCCATCCAGCAGAAAGTCCTCCAGGTGCCTGGAGGGGAGGACGCCTGTGCTTGGCTTTCCTTTGTACATCCGCATGCCGAACACAAAGCTGGTAAACGCGGACGAACACGGGGCCGGCACTTCAACTTGAACTCGATCACAAGTCCCTCAAGCGGAGATTAGCAAACAACTAGGGTTAAGGAATAAGGGCCTCATAGGGATCTGCTTGTAAGGTTTAGAGCTGTTTGATTTTGCGTCAGATAAATACGAAACAAACTCATGCCAGTCTCTTCCCGCGTTTGGGGCAGCCTTTGTTGCCTTGCAGACGGGCGTTCGCGCCCACAGGCAATCAATCAACATCAATCAATCAACATCAATCAATCAATCAATCAATCAACCAATCAGTCTCTTCCCGCAGTCAAAATAGTAAAGGAACAAAGGGCGTAAGGCTTAGGTTGTTTATTATGCGGCGGCGGCAAGCACGAAGAGTTTTTTTCGCGGAAGCCGCGCCCCCTAGCAAAATGATTGTACAAGGGTTTGGGTTAGGACTTTTCGGGTTTACAGTTGTTGGCTTTCTTTTGATTTTTCCTTGGGGAGGCCCTTCCCAGTGTTTTGAAAGTCTTTGATTCTTTGATATTGCAGCAAAGAAGAGTAGATTCCCGTCCGAAGAGGCCCGTGCCCCCTCGGAAAAGTTGAAAACAGTTTAAGGTGTAGAGTGGTTTGCTTCTCCGGCGCGAAAGTAAGAAACAGAGATCCGCCCCTAGGCCCATCGGCCCGCGGAAGAATAGAACTCAGAGTTTGGGCTTTTGGAGTTGACGGATAGAAGAGAAAGGGGCTTAGGATTTGGAGCTGTGTGAATTTGCAGTTAACAAGTACGACAAGCAACCGCGATGGTTTCACCGTGAGGAGGCCTTTCCCCCCTGGAAGATACTCAAAATAGTGAGCCTGGCTGTGAGTGTTGTGAGAGTTGCACCAAGGCTAGTTTTTGTCTTTGTTTGTGTGCGTGAGTGTGTCGGTCTTACAAATTCGTTTCGCATGGATGCTGTTTTCGCGTGGAAAGCAGACTGTTTGGGCTCTTCATCACAGGTCGGTGAGGCTAAAGCAAGAGTGCAAGCTGTGGGCACACGATGGTGTGCAGCAGGCCAAGCGCTGGCTAGTTCAACCTTTGGGAAGCCCGTGGGAACGTTCACAACAGCACGAGACGTGGATGATAAACACTGGTGTGAACAAACGCAGTGCAATACCAGCGACCTTTGGCATTATCAAACGCCATTCAAATCCAGATCGAAACAAACCGAATCGAAACAAACCAACGTGACATTTCACAGTTGCATTCAACGTCGCTCGTGCATTTTTGGGTAGGAAATCAATCGTTTGACCCCTTCCGACTTGCGAAAACACAGGAGCTAATGAAAGCTGTTGGCTTCGAGGAGACAGGCGAGATGCTGGTCCTGCCTGAGAAAGTATCCACGAGGCGCATCGAAGCCATTTTGCAGTTGATTTTGTCCTGATGTTGTCCTGAGTTCACAACGTGTCGGCTCGTTGGCACATGTGTCCTTTGCAGATGTGCCGTTTCACCTACATGCAACATCGCAGTGCACCCAGACCGTTGCCGCAGAACGTTGCACGAAAAAAGGCGCTTGCCATGCAGCGTGGGGTCTTGACAGACACATGTCGCTGAGATTGCCTAGAAGCAATGAAGGAGTGCAAGGTGGCATGGAGTTGCCGGCTCAACAAGCAGCGAGCAGATAGTGTGGTCCCACTGCTGCTAAATCGGCAGTTTGTCACCGTCTGCTGGCATGAGTGAGAGACGGGAGCTAGAGTTGTTCGCGGCTTTATGTATTGAGCCGCCGCGGGAGCATCATCTCCGAAATTTCGCTTGGATGCACAGTCAAGGCAGAAGCCTTCTCACCACATTGCCAGTGCGGACAGAGCGTGTCAATCAGGTTGGCCCTGCGGGTCGGCCAAGCGATCAGCAGGAGCCGGTCGCGCCTCCAACGTCTCATAAGCGAGGCAAAGGAGAGAACTGAGAGTGCAAAGCTGACTCTGCAAGCATCCGACTGAGACTTGCAGAACATGTTCGTCATGGATGCTAGATGATGTTTTCAGTGCCGCTGCCTGTCGAGGGCAGCGGGCGCAAGAGTCCAATGAGTCCAACGAGCTGAGTTTTCAGTTCTAGGAGACTTTGAAACAAGCCGTCAGGCGAACGTTGGTCAGAAAAGCTCTGGAGACACTACCTCTTGCTACCAGTGGCTACATCACATCCAACAGGATGTTGCGAAACGAGTGTTTAAAAGATTTCAACATCTTTGCACAGCTGCATCCGCAGTGGCTGTTTAAATCTAGCACGGAACTTGCACATCATAGTGCATGTCCCCGAAGTGGCATTAGCCGTGACGCATCGGAAGCATGTCGCTAAGTTCAGGCGGGCGCAGGTGGATAACTATGTTGGAGATGTACAATGCGTGGCTCGCCAGCTTGTGGTTGCATTGTTTCAACAAGATCTTGCCTTGCCAAGTCTAGTCGACATGCGCGATGTTCCTTATGGAGACGTATCGAAGTGCACTCCAGGACAGTAAAGGAGTGTGCTTGCCACGATCCCGGCAAAGAATCATAGAGACTCAAAGAGAATCTTCTGCCGACAACTCCCTGATCCAGACCAGGGAGAGATGTTTTTTTCTCGCATGCTCTGACAAGATGAAGCTGTGGAAGTGGCGGCTGCCAATGCCGGCCTCTGCACCACAGCTGCCGCAGCTTGTGCCGAGCAAAGTGCGGCAAGAACCAGCTGGAATGTACTGGTGGTAACGGTCCCAGCAGCCGCACATTTGTAATCCATCGAAGCCAGTGCCGTCCCGAAACATTACAGTAGAAATCGGTATAATTCCTAAATAGTGCGAAGAATCTGGTGCCAACGTTCAGGAATTGAATTGTCGGGATAGCTTGGGAGACTCAGTCCGTGATTAGAGGCTGCATCACGCTGGAAAAGATGTTGCGAGGAGAGTGCTTACGGATGATTGCGGATGTTCGCCATTTATAGAAGCTTGCGCAACTGCGCCCGAAGAGAGAGCGAGCTTTCTTTTCGATCGAGCATGGAGCGCTGCGCAATTTGAGTATGCGGCACTTCCATGAAGCGGCATAGGCCGTGACACATCGGAAGCATGTCGCTAAGTTCAGGCGGGCGCAGGTGGATAACTATGTTGGAGCCACAAATTGCGCATCGGTTAACGAGGGACTCGCCAGCTTGTGGTTGCATTGTTGCAACAAGATCGTGCCTTGCCAAGTTTAGTCGACATGCGCGATGTTCCTAATGGAGGAGACACGTCGAAGTGCGTGCGCTTGCCAAGACCCCGGCAAAGAATCACAGACAGAATCTTCTGCCGAGATCTGGACAACTCCCTGATCCAGACCAGGGAGAGATGTTTTTTCGCACGGTGTGACTCCGAGTGCAGCCCTGGATCCACCCCTCAGAGCCTCAGCCCCGAAGTGAAAGGAGGCCGAAAAGCGATCTAGTAAGGAATCGTCGAGTTCCAGCCTGAGGGCACCAAAGCACAGTTGATATTTGTTGCTGCACTTGGTTGTTCACCTCCAGACCGAGCGCCTGCGACGTCTGAAGCAGTGTTTTTTTTGAGTCGTCGGATCCGAAAACAACCGAACTTGCCTCACTTGAATCTTGGGGCATTCACTGTTTGAGCTGCGCCGCAACTGTGCCATGGCAGGCGCGTGTGCTCGGCCCCGGTGTTGGCAGGTCCGATCCAGGCTCGGCTGCGCAACCGATCGTACCGTTGAGCAGCAGCAGCGCTTATTTCTCAGGCTTCCATGGCTTCCATGGCTTCCATGGCTTCCGTCCAGCTTCCTGGTCCATCTGTCTCGGAAGAGGCAGCTGTAGATGCTGCGGATGGCAAGTTGCACATGGAGAAAAAAATCCCATCGAGATCCCCTGCGGAGCAGCAAGTTCAGAGGTGCCGATGCCCAAGACCAGCTGGGCTACTCCCACCAGTGCAAGGCTCAGGTGGCTCAGGTGGCTCAGGTACAGGCAGTACAAAAGCACCTGCACTTTGCCATCGTTGCATCTGTGCCAATACCTGAGTCTGCAGGTGTGGCTGCGTACTCGCCGGTCCTCATCCCAGAGTCGCACAGTGCATCGGTGAGCCGGCAAGTTGAATTCAGAGAAGCCCAGGCAGTGTCACCTTCACTGGGGCAGAGTCTGCCTCCGCCACAGCCACCGCCCCGACCCAAGTGGAGACGACTCGTAGGGGCTTGTTGCAGCTTGTCAATTCCTACCGACATCCGCCGACCCGGCTCCATGCATCAAGAGAGCCGGCGTTTAAGGAGGGTGCGTTCCTTGAGTCATTCAGTTTGATTCTTGTATCTTACAGCTAAGGGCAGTAACGGGCAAGCCTTGGCCTCTGCCATGGCTTCCCACTGCATCTTGCTTCGGCATGGAACTCCTGTGCCAGAAGAGCAAGATCCCGAGCGACCGCTGTCTGACCAGGGTCGCCGCGAAGCCGCCGCTCTTTGCGGTTTTCCCATGTCTTCCCCTGGCCTCTTTGGGTGTTGCTTCATGCTTTCGTTTCTAAACTAGACCCCCCAACCCCTGAACCCAGCAATCTGGGCAGATCTGGGCAGCCCCCAGCCAAAGTAAGGAGACCACAGCGAGCGCCGTGGCAACATTCTTGAAGTCTGTGACATCGGACAGAAGGGTGCCTCAGTTTGCTTTTGGTGGGCTCTGAAAGCATCATGGAATGGGATCTGAAGCCCTCTCCACATGCTGCGCGACTACCACTTAAACCTCAATCTAGGTTCCTGACGGAGCCAAAGACAGAGGCATACTTTCTCGGCCATGATGTTGAGTAGTTAAGGGAGAGAGAGAGCCTGCACAATTAACCCTTGAGGCCCTCATCGCGCACAGCGGCAAGCTGCGAGCGCGCCAGACCGCCGAAGCTGTCGCAGCAGCTTTACTGGCGGACGGTTGGGAGGCTTGGTGCAAGGCAATTGCTGAGTGCCACAGCTGGACAGCAGCCACGTCTTGCCTGCCGGAGAGGCCATTTGCGAAGAAAGGCCTGGCCTGAGCCCGAATGACGAACCGGCGGCAGCCTTGGAGCCGCGAAGATGCAATGGAAACGAAGCACGTCAGGGTTTCTCTTTCTGTAGGTACGAGATCGCGTAGATGTCAGATCCCTGTAGTGAGATGTTGCGGGTTAGTCCGGACAGGGCTGGAGGAATTCTATTGCAGAGTGGGATATGTGTGGATACTACGTTGGGGGCAGCGGCATGCACTCGGGCGGGGGAGCTCTCCGTGACAGGCTTGTCGAAGAGGGTTCTTCGAAGGCGCCCCTGCGCCCTCCCCTTGTCATCCCTTGTCTGTTTGTCGAGCCTCGTCATGGTTTTCATGAAGCACATTGCATGGAGTTGCATGAATGCAGCAGGCTATGTATGGCAGTTTCGTCATGGGCAGGTGCTCGTTGGCCATCTCCCGCACATGGGAAAGCTAGCTGCGGCGATGGTCAAATCGCCAGCAGCTGCCGGGAGACTGGGTGGGCTCTTTCATCCCGCACCCTGGCTGGGGTTGTGTAGGGTTATTGTTGTCCCTGTTGGCTCGTCCAGCAAAACGTGCAAAGCTTGAAGACCAACACAGGCCGGTGGGGTAGCGCTGCGCCGTGACGGTGCGGATTGGGTCGAGGCCACACTTTGCACGTCGCTTTGCACGCGGATACTGGATTTCAGCTGATCGTGTTTTCACGAGCGATTGCAGCAAGAAGGCCGCCGAAGTCATTTGCGGCGAGTCGTGGTGGGCCAAGGAGTAGCGGACCAAGGCGCAGTCATTTACACAAACTGCCACTCTGTTCAGCTTCACAGGAGGGCTTGATTCCGACTGACCCTGCAGGCAAAAGTTGCCGAGCAGTTGCCACGATGCGGTTCAAAGAAGTCTCGTACGTGCCATGTGCTATCATGTGATATCATGTGCTATCATGTGCTATCACGTGCCATCTTTCAGCTTGAGGAAGCAGGCTCTCCAGCTAATGCGATTGCACAGTGTCTGGACCGAGGCCGACGCCAACAATCGTCACAGTGGCACCAGCCACAGAGGCCTTGCCAATTCTTTGGCCAAGTCTTGGACGTCTTGTACTGGACAGAATTCCTTGAATGCATCTCGTCTACATGGCAGGAGCGTCGGTCTGCTAGTGTCACAGCACACCGGCAAGTCCTGATGCTGCCCAGGCGCCACAATCGTGTGTGGACTCTGTCTAGAGTCTAGAGCTACGCGCAACGCTTCTTTGACAGGCGTCTTGGTGACAGCTCCAGCCGAGAGCCCGTCCTTGCTGGCATTGCCGGGCAGGGCGTTTCCAGTTAGACGTGGGGCTCGAGATGGCTCGAGAAAGGACCGACCTCACACCGCGCCACTTTCCCGAGTCGGCCCAATGCATTTGTCCGAAGCCGAGACCAGTTCGCTGCTTCGTGTGGCGATGCGAAGTTGCGCTGCTGTGTTCGTCTAGTTGACGACATGTCACCAAAGCTTGCGGAGCTAGGCTTGAGTTTTGTCTTGCTTTTGCAGGCAAGGTCGGATAAGGTCGGGAAAGCTGCGAGCTTTTGATTCTAACATAGGGTGGGGGGGGGGGGGGGTGGGTCAATATTGAACGTTTCACAGGAACTTCCCGAAGGGGGGGGGGGGCGTGGTATGGCGTGGTCAATATTGATTTGTTTAGAAGGAACCTGTGTTTTTTGCAACAGCAACAACAACACCACCACCATCTAGGGATTTAGGGGTGAGGATTTGGGGATTTAGGCTTTCAGGGGTTTGCTGAGTCTAGTGATTTAGGTTTCTTGGGGCTCCAAGTTTGAAGGGTTCAGGCGTTTGGGGATCTCAGGTTTAGTTGTGTAGTGATTGAGGGGTTTATTGGTGTGGCTTAGGAGTTTTGGGTTTTTGGGGTAGGATCTCGGGTTTAGACCCGCGCGCTTGGGCTGGCTTTCGTTGGCCGCGGCTTGCCGCTCAATTGAACATTACTGTTCAAGTCTGCTCTTTTGTAATCCTTGCTTGCTCAATTCTTAAGGCGCAGGTCATCGCCCAATCACCACCTAGGCCGGTGGTAACGTGTGCAGACTGCAGAGGAAAATTCCGATTTTGGGGTCAGTTCGGGATAGGTGGGCAGGGTGTTCGCCTTGAAGATCTCAGACTACTTGCTTCCTCGGGGTTCGTGTGAGTATGACAATGGCCCTGCTCAGTGGACAGGAGTGCAACCGAATACGCTGCTGTCATGGCACCACGAGGCAATCGGGCAGTGCCGGACGTCTGTCAATGGCTGTGCCTGTGCATTTTTGTGCCGCGCATTGGAGTTGTGATAGTTTGTGCCTGCCATATGCAAACGTCGTCCGGGTCTGGCTTCGCCAGCCGTGGCTTTGTTTTCGAAACTCAGATACTGCGAAGCCACAAAGTAAGCTTGTTGCTTCGTCCTGCTTGATGCTCATCATGTCCTTAAGCTCCAGGACACAGTGTCCCGGCACCGCCAGGGCCGCCGCAATGGTCCAAGTGGCTCATTCCACATCTCCGAGCTTGTGTGCTTTCAGTGCATGCATCTTCAATTGCTTTGTGATGACCTCAAAACTGGCAAAGCGAGGCAGTCTCAGAGATACCATTGGCAAGCAGGCCAGGCACTGAACAAATCTGCGAGTCCCGCAAGTAGCGGCATCGAGAACAGGTGGACGGTTTGTCTAGGCGCCAGTGCGGGCCTCGCAGTCTGCACGCATCTACACATTTTTCTTGTAGGTTGCTCATGTTGCTCGATGGTATTGGCGGAGGTGCTTTGTTTGCTCGACCACCGCATGGCTCAAATAACCATACTAGCCAAAATGTAGGCGCGTTGTCCGCAAACCTCACTCCACAAAGAAACGCGGCGTGATGCCAGGCAGGGTGCACTCTCTTGGGAGTCTTAAAGGGATTCAAGTCATCTGCATTTAAGTGCACGTGTTTGGTTCGACTACCCTGCACCTGGCCAGCGGTAGATTCACTGTGGCCTGGAAGAATCTGGCAGGCCAGCATGAGCCGCAGGCGTCCCCTTCAAAACCGCGGCCCATACAGGCTGCCAAGGAGAGGACGCAAAAATCTTGGGAATCTCGACAGCAGGCTTTTTTTTCACAATCGGGCACTCACAATCGGGCACGTCGTTACGAATCTGTAAAGGAGCTAGCAATAGCCAGCAACTCTTTTGTGGGTAACATCTCAGCAGCACGCTTTTTTACCCTGCAAGTTTCTTGCTCTGTTGTCAGACAGCTTCGCTGCCTTCAGTGTTTCCATGTGCTTCCCAGGCTTGGTTCAAGAGTTTGGATGGTGTGCGCTGTCTCCGGCGAATCTCCAGTGCCTTGATGAAGCGTCACCTGGATGCGCATTTCGTGACATCGAAGACATGGGTAGGGCTTACTCTGACATGTGCTACAACATCTGAAGCTCAGGCGTGAACCGGTCCATGGTTCTTGGCTTTCTGCTGTGGGACATGTCTGTCTCAGCTGGGATGACCACATTCTACTTCATGCATGACAACATTGCGAATCTGGGGCTGGTGAATGAGCATGTTGTGCGTCTGGTCGGCATTTTCCGCTTGCCCCCCAGCTGAAAACGAGGGATGAAATAGCAAAATAGCTTGCAAGAAAGTCATCGGAGTCATCGGCATGCTTTGCTGATCTTTAAGTCTTTGCTGCTTGTTGTCATCCCCGAGTCTGATCTTGCTGTGGAGACCGACAAAATTGTGCTGTGCTGTGAAGGGCTCCGAAGATATTGAGGCTCAGCGTCATTTCCGGCCTGGCTGTAGTGCTGAAGCGGCACCACCACTTGGTACGCTTCTTCTTCACCATGTTCGTTATCAACTGGAGCCTCTGGCATGAGTGACACTGCGAAGGTTGTCATTTGCATGAGGTTTGACGGCCCGGCCAGTTGCTGGCTTGGGGCGTGATCCATTTGCCCCCTTCCCACTAGTTTTGGCAGACTTTGAGCTGGGCAGTTGAAGTTGAACGGCGGTCGGGGAGTTATCGAGCAGATAGAGTCCACCTGTGCCTGAGGATCGTTCTGGGGGTGTTGCTTGGCTGTGACATTGTGAATTAATGTGAGCTGTGAGCCAGATGTGAGCCAGATGTGAGCCAGACGCCTGCGCCCAAGCCATGCAGAGATGCCAAGGATTTTCTTGATCCCAATCGCTCGATTGCAGTGTTCTTGTGCTGATGGCACCTGGGAGCAGTGCAACGCCATGCAAGACTTCTGGGAAACAGGCCATGCATGTCACGAAGAGCCACCTGTTCCATGGCTCTCATCTCGTTGTAGCTGCGGCTTTCATTCTGAAGGTTTGCACCTCAGCTTTAAGCCTGCACCAGTCAAGTGGCCACTTGGCGGAACTTGGGGGCCCTGAAGTGCTGTGGTGTTAAGGTGGCTTAGAGGCTTAGAGTTCAAAGTAATCTGCAGTCCCTGTCGGAAGCCTTCCGAAGGGACTCCTAAATTGACGCGTTTAAAGTGTAAACTCACAAAGTTTCTGGTGAGGAAGCTTTGCTTGACCGTATAAGCAAACCTTAGCTTTTGAAAGGACCGCTCAGTGTGGATGTGTTCGTTCTACAGCGCTAGTTTAATTTGAGAATCAAGTGCGCTGCAAAAATCTCATTTGGCATGACGGCACATGTCAAGCAGTTCGGGCAAGGGCGCCGCTCTGGGAGTCCCAGCTCATGGGCAAAGCGGAGGGAGACTGGAGAACCCCCCCTCCCTCTATGCACGTATGTGCGTATGTACGGTATGTACGCATACACATGTATGCTCTCTTGCCATTACTATAGCTCAACCACAGCTGCACTGAGGGAATAGCTGTCTAAAAGCGTCTCAGGAAATAGCATACCCGAACAATGCCTCCTTCTAGGGCTCACAACTAAGAAAAGTCATAGAAAATGTTTGCTGATTCTGACTCACGCATCTCGGCCAGGGGTCAAATTGATCCAATCCCACGAGACAGGCTGTAATGCCTAGCGCAAGGAAGTTTCATGAAGCAAGAGGTCGGCGAGAATCTTACTTAGATGTCCCGGGGGCTCCACGAGCGTTGCACAAATGCGGTCAACGAGTGTACAATCGTTCAGTCGTACAGTCGTACAGTCGTACAGTCGTACAATCGTGCTTGTGCTCGTGCTCGTGCTCCTCCTGCTGCTCCTGCTGCTGCTGCGGCGGCGGCGACGGCGGTGGTGATTCTTACGTGTATAATGTCCAGGCACACGAAGAGGGACGGCCACTTCAACAAGGACATGCTTGTTACTAACCTGAGTCAGCAAATTGTTGTTTTTTTGCTGGTCGTATCAGAGATGCTTGCTGCAGCAGAGCCGCCGGATGAGAGGTAGAACCAATGCCGAATCTTGACGTCGGGAAGACTGCAGCGTTCAACAGGCAGCTCTATGCCGAGGATCTCGCGCTAGCGCCTTTTAGGGGTTTTGAGACCAAGGCGATTTAACCAACCGGGGGAGAAGCCTGGGAGTGCAAGTATTGGGATCTGGCATGTTAAAGACAAGCCTGGAAGTCTGTAGCTTCTGATGTGAGGACGGGCGAAGCCTTTTAGAACGCGGCGGAGAGCCAGATGAACCAGAATCAGAGGCAATGCGTGCTGACTCGCGCCTCGATGTTGCCAGTTGCTATCCAAGCTTATCTCCTACCGTTTACGTACTTCATGCAACAGCCTTGGCACTGAACGGAGCCTTGCTGGATTGCACGCCTCCGAACGCCTGGTCAGGTCGCGCGCTGGCTGCCAAAGCGGCTGCAGGGTGCAGCCAACAGACAGTCAGGCCGCCTGTAGAGGCAAGTATCTTTCTTGGCTCCTGTGCGCTGGCTGCAGGCCAGTCCGTGTCTTTCTGGATCACCAGACACCGAAGCCCAACTGCCTTCATCCAAAGACACGACAGCAGCATTCATGCTCTTCAGCATGACAGTATCCAGCAGGACTTCAGGATACATGATGCTTGGCTGCCAGAGTATTCTTGCCGGGCAGTGGACCAGGACACTCGCATGCGCCAGTTTGACAAGTAGCTGCTTGAACGCCATCCCAGGACACGGACCCCGACGAGCCCAACTCGACGAACTCGACGAACTCGACCAACTCGACCTCGGAGGGGACCTTGACCGTCTTGACCCCTGCCAAGTGCGAGGAGCAAACTTTCACAGGGAAACAAGGCCCTCGGAGAGTTCGCAAAGCTTACGGGAATGCAAGAGTCTAGCTGTCCTTCTAAGCCGATGTTGGGTGCTGCCTTTGCAGTGAAGATTCGCTGCAGGCAGTTCCTTGATGGAGGAAGCGGTGGCGCAGAGAAGTTCGTCGTCGTTCATCAACTCCACGCAGCTTGCTAAGATGCTGCTGCGGAAAAGTTTGACAAACGAGCTTATGGAGAAGCTCCATGTGTCGATGCAGCGAGTGGCGCAAAACCTTCTGGAGCAGCCAGAGTTCAAAGCCATCATCTGCGAGTATGCCAAGCATCTGGAATCAACGGAGCCTGGGATGGCTGCTTGGCTGTTTTTGCGCTTAAGAATAGCCATGTTGCTCGCATCCGGTTCTTAGCCGTGTGTTGAACGAATGTTCGAATGAGCTAAAGTGCGATCATCTCTTTGTGGAATCTTTCAATGGCTTGGAGACTTCGAAGGCACCACAACACGTTCGTTCTTTTCTCTCTTAGCAAGTGATAGCTTGCAACATGTGGAGAAGGGCGACCTTGGAGAGGTGCCGGGCCGACCCTTTCTTGGGAGTGATGCAAGGGTTGAGGAAGGGGCTATGCATGCCCCAATGTTTGTGGGGATGGGGCCTGCCTCCGAGCAACAGAAACACTGGCTCATCAATGTGGCTCACAGACGCACGCCTGCGACTCCAAGCTCAAGTTGCAGAACGTTAAAGAAGGCATCCTGAGCTTGCAACAGTTGTGAGGGGGTTCTTGGTGCTTGGGATGGGAGGTGTTGGCGAAGTACGGCTCTGGAAGCACACAGCAAACAAGCCTGGCCAATCTTGGTCACTTCAGCACAAGTCAGACACCACAGTAAAATACATAAAGCATACAGGCGGGCAAGCCGTTTTCTGCAAGAAATGCGGCTAGTAGCGGCTAGAAAGTATTGTCATTGCAATGAGGGTGTGGTGTGATTTCACATAAGGTTTTACGGGCGGCCAATAAGCTTATTTTAAAAGGCCGCGTGGTGAATGAACTTTCTTTCGGTTTTCTTGGGATTCTCTCCAAGGTTTACCATTAGAATAAAGACGAGAGAATGAATGCATTTTTAAGCGAACTTGTGAGCGCATGAAATGCACGAATGACCGAACGAAGTGAGACAGCTGCTGCAAGGTTAGGAAAGGTCCTAAGGTAGCAAAATTCCTTGACAGGTAAGTTCCATCCAGCATGAGCGGTGTAATGACTTCCTCACTGTCACTACCCTCGTCTCTCAGAAATTGAGTCATCCTTGATTACGAGGAAGCCAACGGCCTAACAATAAGACCCTGAGCACTTGGCCGTTCATGTTTCGTTCACCCATAAGCCCCTTTTAATAGTATTCATGCGTCCGTAAACTCCCTTATAATACTATTAATAGTGTTTATGGTGTTCTCTTCACGTGTACGCGCTTATAATATAGTTGTCATAATAGCGCGAACTAAGTGAACGAAGAACGGGGCCGGGAATTATATTATTATTGCGCACTTATAATATAAAATTCATGCGTGTGGCGATAATATTATATTTACAGTGGCTTTTCTTCGCGAGGGAACACTATGAACACACCATACAAGTAGTTAAGCCCAACCTCGTCCACTTTTGACCCTTCCCCCGGGCAGTTATTAATACCATTAGTGTGTAGAGAACGTGTGAACTAGACTATAACGAGCCCGCGAGGCATGAATATAATGAACACAGTGAACGAAATGAATACGGGCACGGAGTAAATTCTATTGTGTGCCCGTGAACAGAAAGAAGAATATTACAAGGGCTTATAATTCAGTATATTAGCAGGATTCCGCATGAAAGTATACTAAATTACTAGCCCGTGCCCCTTTTTCCCCTATTATCTTCTTTTTTTCGCTAATTCACAGATCACGCGTTCATTTCATTCACTATTCATCTGAAACCAGCGTTGAAATCTGAATCCTCAGGCTGAGAGATGTTAGTCTGTCAGATCGAGCGGGTTGCACATTGCACATGCTGTAGAACGAAAACCTACACACCACGCAACAACGTGACCCCATGGAGCGCCAGCTGGCTTGCTCAGAACACCTGCCAGCTATGAGTCGGCACATCCTCTAACCAACTAGATGAACAAGAAGTGCGGTCACACGTGGGTTGCCGAGCCTATCAACCTGGCAGCTCCTATTCGTCTGTTTCTTTATCATCAGTTTTTGGCTTTGCCGCGCGACTTGGAGAATGACGTGTTTAATTCGTCTCCGAGGGTCAAGCTGAGAGCACTTCGAGCTTAGGCCCAGAAAAGCAAGAATTCTACACACAAGACCTTGAGGGCCGCGAGGCTCGATGGTTTTGGATTCTTTGCATCTTTTGCATTTTGCGGCCTCTGAGGGCATCCCGATTGGAACCGATGTCCTGCCAGGAAGCGCACTGGAGCCTTGATGAAGGCGGCCCTGGCACCCGACGCAGGCTCTCGCCATGCATTGCTCGGTGAGTTCTTTTGTTCCTTTCACATTTTTTCCGTGATGTTGGCATCCTTTTTGGGCACATGTGCTTGCAGACGCTGCTGCCACTGGAGGGCTGCTGGGCCAGATTGTTAATGAGTAGACCCCCAATTTCCTGTTGCTCTTCGCAGCTGTCCAATGCTTTGACGGACGATGCAGCTGCGTTGCTGTCGGTTTGCTCGCTGCCAGCCATGCCCAGATCCTTGATGCAAAGTCAGGATGCCTGGCACCTATCATTCTGGCACCTATCATTTGATCCAGTCGGAGCTCGAGAACATGCCGTCGAGTCAAGGCAACATTGGCATGCATCGATGTGATGCCTGTATGTTTTGAATGCAGCAAAAGCCAATTCAGCTGGAAGCAGGTATGGCTCTGCTTAAGGGTTTCTACGAGGCCGGAATTGGTAGATGTAACATGATCATTCCGCGAGTAGCGTTGCAGGACATGTGCCGATGTGCAGACCTGGACAGCTGCAAGCTTAGTAGCGAGCAGGACGCTTGGACACAACACCTTGTCCACCGTCCATTAGAAGGGTAGGCCTCCAGCATTGGGTCCTCCAGGCACATCGGGAGGGAGCCCTGTGATCACCAATGTGTGAGACCTACCTCTGCCGGTTCAGGTGAGAAAGTCATGCAAAAGTAGCTCCAGGGGTCCATACTATTGGCTTGTTTCGGACGACTCCTACTGATAAGGGTTTTCGAAGTTTGCAAGGCCCAGGAAAGGCTTCGAGAATACTAAGGATGAGTTCTGGTGCTACGTGGACGAGAGCACGTTGCCAGGGTGCAAAGCTGAGCAGGTCAAGCTTCTGAAAGACTCCGACAACAGGAGATGCTCGAAGCGTGCTCATGCCATCGTCCCGCAATGCCTTAAGGGAAGCATCAACCTTTGAAGCTCATGGACCCCACGCAGACCCAACAAATCAGGCTACAATCTAGAAGTTTGCGTGGGATTTTGTGGGTTTCTTCTTGTCTCTTCATGAACTTCATGGGCAGTGTCCCAAAGCCTGGAGGACCTGGAGCCGGGACCTCTGCTCTAAGCGGCCCTGCGAGCCTGCCAACCTCGGGATGAAGCCACGCCCCAAGAACAACAAGGAGACCCTACAGGATTCTAAAGGAGACTTTCTGGCCTGTTGAGTCTTTCTTTCTCTTTCAATCGGACTCTGACTCTCTCGCTCTCTCTCTCTCTCTCTCTTTTCTCTCTCTCTTCTCTCTCTTCTCTCTCTCTTCTCTCTCTCTTGTCTCTCTCTTTCAAGGATGATGGCCCAAGAACTCACAGAGGGCTTTAAGGCTTCAGGATGCAGACTTTGGTCTTGTAGCATTTCGGGGGAGTTCCTGATGGGAACAGTTAGTTGTCGTAGAAGCAGCAGCAGCAGCAGCAGCAGCAGCAGCAGCAGCAGCAGCAGCAGCAGCAGCAGCAGCAGCAGCAGCAGCAGCAGCAGCAGCAGCAGCAGTCGTCAGATTGCTCGGAGATCACAAGAGAATCTCAAAATACCCCGTATACAAGTGGCCGTGACAAAGAGCAGCAATGCAAATCCGCCAAAAAATAGAGCAAAAGAGCGTCATCTCTTGCTGCAGGAGCTGGACTTCCAGAGGCACCCTGAGCTCAGGGACGACAAGATGCTGATGAGGCATCCCTTGGGGGCAGGGGCCATTTGGATAAGAAGCGTGTCTCTGGGTTCTCTCTGAGTTTGGGGCTTCTTTGTTTGGGGACCTTCCGGGAGAACACTTCCTCTTTTCCTCTTCTCCTCTTGGGGTGAGAAGGATCAGGAGTTTTAAGGGGCCAGCCCAGGTACGGCTCGGACTGCGATATCTGGAAGCGTGGAGACCCCATGGAATGGGCGCCTCGGATTCAACCACGGCTCAAATAAGGAACTAAGCCCAGGGCTCTAGGGCTCAGGGTTTCAACCCTTAGCTGCCCAATTCTCAGCTATAGGCTTCCCCAAGCCAAGTGAGGCCTACGTGGGATTCGACACCACCTGCATCGAGCGAACGCTGCCGGGCCAAGAATATACCCTTCGATTCCAATAACGCAAATCCCTTCTACGAACGTCAAACTCCCGAAAAGAATGGCGTCTATCAACCCTTAAAACGTTTCGAAGCCATAGTTAAGCATACAACAAGATTGAGGAAGTTCACGAGTAGGAAAAAAATGTTCAGAGATTGAGGAGAAGGGCGCCTCCGAAGGTTGGAGACTGGCCAAAGGGGCTGCCCAGAGCTCAGATTGCAGCGGTTTAGGATTTAGGGTTTAACATTTAGGGGTAATTCAGGGGTTTAAAGGGTTCTTGGCATTTCTTCGCTATAGATGTTGAGGGTGGGCCGCCATCATGATCGCACGTCTTGAGCCAGCTGTGCCAGTGCTCTTCCCCCTCCAGATGTGAGAATGCTTTTGCTGGGGTTGCTTTGGCTGTTTCTTGCTTGGGTATGATGGGTAGAGGGTGTTGCTGTCTCGGCGGGGCTTGTCTCGTGACTCCCGCTCGCCGACTGTGGTGTTGCTTCGTCTCTTACATGTAAACACATCGGGACAGCCATCAGGCAAGCCCTAAGCCCTGAGCTACAGTCCAAATCGCCGCAAATCCGGAATGAAATGATCCTATACTTCCGAAGTACTTCCAATTCCAAAGGTGTCAAAAAGCCGTCACCCCACGCTTCTCAAACGAAGTAACGCACCGAATCTGGCACGGCAAGCCCCAAACTGTCAAATGCTTCCCCTCCTGACTCCTCAATTGCTGTGTCGGTATGTGTCGGTGGTGGCGTCTCCAATCCACGGGCCTGAACAGCGAGTAGCTGAGTAGCTTTCAGGAAGCGACTGGGACTAGACCTGTCATGTCACGAAAGCTATCTCCTTGGAGCTTGCGGGCGTTTTTGTGTACAACCTTCCGGTATTGGGCCAAACCGGACTTGAGGAGACCTTTGGCTTGACTTTTCAGGGACGGGTTGGGGGGGGGAGGGGGTGGCCTTTCCCTAACAGGCAGGGTCCGCCCCCCCCCCCCCCCCCCAAAACCCACTGTAGGGGCCTGCAGCTTGTGCCAACGTTCGGCAACCGGATTTTCGCAAGAACCTACCCAACGTGAAAATTCTGCCAGGCTAGCTTGAACCCAACACCCGGAACCCTAAACCCTCAAGCCTGCGTTCCACCAGTGACGACAGCGCTACCTGCCGAAAAACACCGGCCTCGTGCTGCCTTGTTCGTTCACCCTGCTCTCAAGTAGAGGACTTCATGCTGACTGTTTAAAGCCTGCGTCCGGCGGCGTAGTGCGCTACTGGTCCAAGCGGACCGCATACAATCACAAAGAACATGCATCAAAGCGAAGCAAACGCTGAGGCCGTACATGTTCTTGTCCTGGAATCTTGGCAGCATGCAGATCGAATTGCAACTCGGTTTTGAGTTGCTTTGTCCTTGTTGAAATGCCACGAAAACTTTCACAGGACGGCGTGTACTTCCAACCTCTTGTTTGAGACGAAGCGTCATGATGGCACAGTTGGGTCCCTGTACCATGCGAAAATCCGCTGCACGTGGTACCAGATGGCGCCCTGGCTGTCATAACGTGCTTCAACGGCCTCGGCAATCCGCTTCCTTACTTGCAACCTTTGCTGGCACACGATGGCACACAATTCTCAGGTTCTGGAAATCTTCCTGATCCTTGACTTGATCTTCACCCTGCCCATGATGGCCCCCTGGACGGCATTCCGGCGTTCCGTTCTGTGAAGGGCACTCGGCTACACACGGTTTGGGATGAATACATGGCAAAAAGGTCATCATGTACCACTTCATCGCCAACCGCGCAGCTCCCAGCAGTTGACATGTCTTGTTGCCGGGCCCATGGCATGAAACAGATGTGGGTCATTCATTCTGGGTCATTGGTTCAGTACATGGCGCAGCGAGCTTGGTGCCTTCGTGGGAAAACTTCGGAGGCTGTGCCGACAACTTGGAAACGGAGGAGCAGTTCGCTCCTGTAGATGACTCTTCAGATTCATCTGACGCTCCGCTTATGGCTGTTTCTGTCCGCTTGTGCTTTTGTTAAAGTTGTGCTTTTGTGGTCTCCCATATAGTGCATGTCAATCGAGCTCAGGAAGAGTTTCAGCCAGGAGTGTCAGATGGCCATGAGCATCAGCGAAGCCAGGAAGCTTCGCATCGGCCGTCTCAGTCAGAGGTGCAGGCATGGCCGGGTATGCGGGTTCATGTTCACGTTTGCAGATATAGTCAATAGTAATTCGGAACGCGTCCATCAGTGCGTCTTTCGATGGCATGATGCCCCATTGGCAGGGTGGTCTCGATGCAGCTTCCAGCGCATGAGCATGATTTGGACAGCCATCGGCAAGTGGAAGTCGTGACCAAGGCTTGCAGCCGTCTGGCACTGACCAGATGGCCTTACGAGCACCCGAGACTTCGTGCCAAAAAAGCGACGAAAGCGCAGCAACTTGCAATCTGGTGACTCCCCTTTGAATCTCCCGATGGCTCACCAAAATTTCCCAGCATGACCAGCCCGAGGCTGAGACTTCGAGACCGCTGCGCTGGGATGCCGCGTTGTGCAAGTGACTGCAAGTGAAGGTCTGTCGGCGTCTGTCGGTGTTTCACAGCGGGCTTGGCCAATGCTGCCACTTGGTGCCCTTTTGGGCGTCATGCTCCTTCCACGACTTGTCGCCGTCCGCCTTCAACTCCGCGGGTGCAGGGCTGAAAGCTGCGCAACGTTGCGGCGAGAGGCCTAGTGGCCGATTAGTGGCCTAGTGGCTAAACATGCCGGCGGTCCAGTTGGAGACAGCTAATGCATGGCCGAATCCGGCAGCAAACAGGCGCAATGTCCGCAGGGCTAATGTTTCCTCCATGGGCACCGAATCACTAGAATGTTGAAGAAGCTGCCCACTGTGCGGACGAAGTCTTGGCTCAGGCTGAGGATTCATGCTGCATGCACCTGCAGGCCACACACATGGGAAGGACTGAGCAGAACGTGTTGCACTTGAAGACACACCCAGATGGCAGTGTTGACGCCGCATCCTGGACAGCAGTGATGCTTTCGGACGGTGCATGAGCTCAGCAAGTTCAGATACCGTTTCGGAAGGAGCCACTGAAGCTCTACCGTAGACTACATACCTATACTATACCTGTACTGCAGCGTGCGCAGCACGCTAACCTTAGCCCGCCAGCCCAGCGACCAGAGATCATGGCGCTGCTGACGCCTGAGGAGTGTGAGGTCGGAAGCACTCGAACACCTCTTAAAATCTCCAAAGACCTGACGCCGCCTTACGTTGAGTCATGAAGGCTCGCAATCGCAATCGTGCAGTTTTGAGGTGGATGTTTGCGTGCTGGGCACTGGCCTCACCGAGAGCTTGGCAGCGGCTGCATTTGCCCGTCTTGGGCGCCGGCTCCTCCACTTGGATGCCTCGAGCGCCTATGGCGGTTGCTGGCGCTCGCTGTCCTTGGCCGAGCTTCCTGGCACAGAGCACAGTGAACACAGAGACACAGAGAAGCAAACAGGCACGCAAGCACACAGCGGAACGTCAAAAAGAGCAGCGATCTGGACTCCTGCACAGGTTTGTTCATTGGGCAGGAGGAAGCGCGAGCTTCGAAACCCCGGTCTCCCAGGCCGAAAGGGCCGAAAAGATCATGACTCTGCAGAAGGCATCTTCCAGTCTCTCAAGCACCTGGCAGGTTGCGGGAGGCGACTTCCGCTCTCTTCCGCAGCAGGTGCTGCGATGGCCATGCAGTTTTTGTTCCAGCATCTTTTGTTCTACAGGGAGTCTCAGGGAGTTTCATACGAGCTAGGTTCTTTGGTCCTTGGTCGCTGGAGATGTGATTTCTTTTGATTCTTTGCAAGGCTTGGAAAGCCGTTCATCGGCGTTGCACCACTGCCCCGCTTGGGGCTGAGACCTTCCGGCCGAGGTGCGCAGCCTGTGCCTTCCTCTGGGAATCCCTGCTCCTTCAGGGATGGGACCACCAGCAGTGCTTTCCTATGCTTTTGAATGGTGGACAGGTATGACTTCGAGGCGAAGGAAGAGCCGGAAGTTCCTCTCGCACCTGAGGCTACGGCCGGGGAGACTGCTCTCAGGCTTGCACCTCATGCACCCTACGGTTGCTTCCTCGATCACTGCTTTGCACCCTGCCTGCAAGCTTTGGCGCTCTGTGGGAGGGTAAAGTTGCAAGGCCTTGAACATGTGTCGGGCGCCAGAGAGCAGCAGAAAACTCAGAGAATGTGAAGCCCGGAGACAGAGGAACAAGCCGCAGGCGAGAGAGATGGAGAGTGCGCAGATGACCCCCTGTGTTGCGGATGCAGTTGCAGCTTGTTGAACGTCTGAGGAATGGGATCCATTTGGCAGGCTGTCTGCAGTAGAGCTCTGCAAGGAGAAGCGCGACATACTGAAGAGCCCGACGTCCTTCAGCAACTGTGCCTTTAAGATTGCCCTCTACAAACAACCCCCCCCCAACCCTATCCGACTATTTTATCGGACTTTCTCGTCTGACTTCATGAAGACGAGGGTCTGTTTCGAGGCTTGGATATCGTACCACGACTGCTGTTTGGACGAAGCGACTTTGTGGATGTCCTCGTCGAGTCGGGTGTTGCAAGGCGCCGCGAAGTGTCTCTCAAAGTGTGACTCACATTGAACCTGGAACCCAAGTTTTGTCGAATCTCCTTGGAGAGGTACTTGGAGTTTCAGGGCCTGAAGTCGGCCAGGGTCCTAACACCTGAAGGCCTCTTTGCGGTGCCCTTGACCAAGAGCGAAATTTTCCAGGATACTCATCTGAGTAAGCCTGAGAAGCGGACGCTAATGCGATTCATCACTTCCATCCAGCCCTTTGTGGGTAGCCTTGCCTTCCAATCTGCAGCGCAGCTGGGCGTGGATCAGGCTCGTAAGGTCAAGGGCCCAACTGAGCTGGACTCCAGCGTTCTGGGGGTGGACCTGGAGGAGCCGTGGCAATGTTTCCTGGAGCGGCAACAGCTGTCGCAGAGACTGCAGGAGTTCATCACGTATTCTATCTGTCTGTGGGATTGGTCCCCGAGGTCGGAGTCACGCGCTGGATGGCCTGAGCTTTCTTGCGGCGAGGCGCTTCGACGACTTGGAAGTTTTGTATCTTCACTTGGCATGTACGGCCGTGGAACGAGCATGCCTTTGCTGTATCCTATGTATGGTGTGGCTGAGATTGCGCAAGGCTTCACCCGCATGAGCGCACTCCATCGAGGAACCTATGCCTTGCGCACGCGCCCGACCCACATCCTTACCAAGAAGGATGAGAATCGTGGCTGGATGGTGACAGGCGTAGTAACTCACCGTGGTGAAGTGATACGAACTTCCACTGTTATTGGGTCCTGTGACCACATCACAGAACAAGGCAAGGCTAACGATGTCGACAAAGGGTCGGACTCGACTTCCTGCAGGCGGACGACGGTCTTGCTGAATTGTCCGCTTTTGGGAGAAGAAGGGGTGAACTTGTGTGTGGTTCCTCCGAGCTCTTTTTCACCACCTTTGCAGAACGTGGTGCAAGTATTGCAGCTAGACTGGAGCACAGGCACCTGCCCGAGGGGATGGTATATACACCACCTCTCGCAGGCATGGACTGGCAAGGATGAAGGCATCCCATTTGCTGACCTAGATAAAGTTCTGGAGACGCTGTTGGCAAGGTGTCCAGAGTCTAAGTGCCTGTTCCGATGCAAGTACATCCACAGACCTAGACCAAAGGAGCGCTGGAATACTGACAAAGACACAGTGAGTCCGATGAGGGACTGCAGCGAAACTGGTAGCCTCGCCGTCGTAGCAGATCCTGCTGCCGTGCCACAGCTGGTGGTGTCCGACGAAATCCATGAAGCACGGCAGATGTTCCTCGCGTCCCCAGCAGCTGCCGGTGCACAACCGGAGGACTTCTTGCGAAAGCCTGAACACGTGGCAGAGGAGCTGCATTGTTCGCACTTGTGCCAAAGTACTTAGAGCATCATACTCTAGCAATACATGTCAAGGTGAGTCGGTGAGTCTTTGAGGGTGTCGTTTCTTTTCGTGGGGCTTTCGGAGGAGGAACGTGGTGGCGCCATGGAAGAGCTGGAGCTTTTCAACGAGCAGATGCAAGAAACCGAGAAGCAGGTGCAGCAAGCCGAGACCATAAAGTGGCCTGCCGAAACTGAGGGCGAACCTCAATAGCTTACTCTTTTGAAGGGGCGTTGAGGAGCCCTAGCCCGGTTCCTTCAGCTGAAAAGCTCACTGCACTTGTGCCCCTGTCGCTTAAGTGCATGGCCTGGCTCAAGTGCCAAAGAGTCGGTGTTCCCATGCAACCGAAGGCCACGCTCAAGCGATTTCATGTTTGTTCTGACTGAGCTCCTGGACATCTGCCGGCAATGATCCGGCATGCGGGAGGCCGCGGTACAGAAGGTCCGTTTCACCAATCGATTCGACTCCTTGCAGCTCTGCTTGTGCAGACGAGGCCGAGCTCCAAAAAGCCTGATGGCAGAAAAGCAACAGCCAGTTGAAGCCTGTCCTACTGCCATCTGCCGCCGTGCCTTGTTGGCTCGCTTTTAGGCCTCCAATTTGTTTGTGACGGTCCGACAAGTACAGCTGAGCGAGCAAGCGTCTGTATCGGAACTTAACCCATCTGTTGGCCGTACAGTGCAAGCTGTTCACATTAACACGTTGGCGCGCAGCGCTGGGGACGGACATCTGGGGACCATGGAGCCTGCGATGCCTGCAGCACTGCTCGGCACGCCAAGCCCCCGCCTGCTGCCCTGCTGGACTCCGAGACAACGAGGCGAGCACACACACACACACACAAAACACACAGATAAAAGCGTGAGAACGACATGCGCGACATACACACATATAGTAGTCGGCCATCATGTATGCACAAGTACGCACTTCTCGAATCTGTTGAAGTGCCAAAGCCCTGCCAGTTCGTGGCTTGTGCCTCCCAGCCCTTGCAGCCAAACGAGCCAATGGAAGCGAAACAAGGTGGCGAGGAGCCAGGACGGACAGTTGATGCAGGGAATTCAAGCCGACTCGTGGATGGACAATCTTGGAGATGCTTGGAGGATCCAGCTGCTGGCAGCCACAGCTCTGACACTGCGTTTGCTTGTCAGACTGTGTTTTGCCCCCGATGATGTCGACATAAAGCTGAGCAGCCTCTTTCCTGCACTGAGAGAGTGAGTCGCTTTTTCGCTTTGCATTGTCTTCGCACTCTTTGCACTCATGACTCATGACTAAAATGACTAAAGCGCTTTTCGCGGGGAGTTGTTTTCAGTATCTGGCACACTGGACAGCATCTTTCCTGGGGTGCACTGCCGGGGACACGGAGAGCATCCCAGAGTGGCTGATGCATTATCATCATCGTTTTGTAAACAGACAGGCAAGTCCATTGCCGACGTCCTGCTGGGCCGCTTTGACACAGCACGCGTTACCTTGAACAGGGCACGCCGGTGGCTCCGCGTGCACAAGTGCGAGGTAGAATGTCAGCTGGCCGTTCAGCTGCACAGCATCTGAGAGTTCTGCATATCTGCTACACCAGATTGACAAGGTTTCAAGTGCGCGGCAAATGCCTAGAGCTTCAGGTCAACTCTGGAATCAACCCTATGTTTTGGCTGTTCGTGCCACTGATGCTGGCTCTTTCGCCCAGACTGGTGCTCGTTGGCTGGCTTTTGGGGTACATCTTTCTTCCCCGCGCAGCCAAAACAGAGCCTGGGAGACGTGAGACCCGCTTCACTGCCCGCCTGTCTGCAGAAGATCTGTGGGGGTGCAGCTTGGTTGCATTGGTGGCGTTTCCAGAAAGTTCCGGCCTCTGGCTGGGATGCGTTTCTTGTTTACTCTCGGCAAGTGCAAAGAAGCGTCAAAAGTTCAAACCCTAAACCCTTCGCAGATGCCGCAAATGTTCACAGTCCTTTGTGTCGAGTGGAGGCCGCTTGTGGAGAGATGTGGTCACCTCCGGGCTGCGAGACATCATGAACTACAGTGTTGCAGGCAGCGGTGTCCACGCATTCCATGTATCTAGCATTTCACCTGCGATTGTCCTGAGGAATGGTGGCGCTTCCCCGAGAAGTTTCGGGAGAGCTTTCTGCCGCCACATCTTTCGAGGTGAAGGGTCTTCAGGCCAGGCGCCGGATTCAGTTGCAAGTGCCATTCATTGCGGGCAAGCTACGAGGACTTGCCAGATTGTTGGGAATGTGCCAGGTCTCCGAATCTTGCCTCATTTTGGATGCAGTTGCGAACCTGCCGGGCAAGACGGTGTTCCAGTATCGCCTGAAGACGCCCGTCCTGAATGTTGCATACCTGCATGCATGTGGTCATTGCCTAGGGCAAACAGCGTGCTGTCGGGGAACTCGTGCTTTCTGAGCTTTGTCCGAGAGTGTCCGAGGACTGGCGTATCGCTTGGTGAGGTAGATGGATGTCAATGTATCATCTGGGATGACCCATGCATTGAGGTGGATGTTTTTGTTCATAGGCTGAGACAGGATTGAGCAATGGATTGATGTGATGTAAGTATATGTAAGTGGTTTTCGCAACCCTGAAGGTGACTCCTGGCTGGCAATTGCCCAAGTTCTGGGCACCAATTGGAAGCTTCGCGGGCCTGGGATTGCCCGACAAGTTGAGATTTTCTCGCTTTGAGTTCCTGTCGGTGGCTTGGCTGTTCGATTTCTATTTCTTTACTAGAGCAGACTTTCAGAGGTACAGAAATGAAAACTGGCAAATACCGCCGCATAAGTCCAACCGAGGATGGGCAGCTGGTGATGGAGGGGCGTGTTGCTGGAGAAGGCTCGTAGAAATGCGTCGAAAACGTCGCACTGTTCTTCCAACCCAGGCCTCCACTATCCCACGCTCTGAAAATAGCTGTCTTCCTCCTGAAGGCGACCGGCAGGCGATCATCCCGATCTAGAGGAATGTGAGCATCATTGAGCACTAGTAGTGAGCACTACATGGTGCAAGAGTTGCAGAGCATCAAAAACGCCTGGAACAATTCCCTGCTCTTGCAGATCGCAGCTTCGTGCCTGAACTGCACCGACACGCTGACTGCGCGAGGAAGCTTCTTCTGCGCAATGATGAAGCTTTCCCAAGCATGCTTGCCCGCGCCGTGCTCAAAGCTGAACCACAATTCATTTCATTTGTCCTGCCCAGAGTCGGGGCAGATGCTGGAAGCTCAGATATGTGAAGCCGTGAAGCATCATGGTTGCCATATGGTGCCCCCCCAAGTCCTCAGCGAACCGTTTGATCGTGGAGATTTGCAGAGGCATGGACTCGGCACATGGAGCGGCCGGAGGCAGAACTGGGTGACTGCATAAGCGTTGTCCACGGGGAAGCCCAAGGATTTGTGAAGGGGCTTCCGTGCTCTAAAGGCACTGCGACCCTGGCTAGGGAAAGAGTTTTGGCAAGAGGTCGAGGCAGTGCCCTCCAGCTCAGCGATATCTTCATTCGTCAGCCAGGCGCCTTGGACAATTAAAGGCTCAAGGCCGCAACTGGAGATGAACTCGTAAATTTCTGACATTGCTGTATCATCTTGAGGAAGACATAGGTCAGAAGTCCTGATCGGCCCGCTACTGACATGCCATCGGGACATCCTGTCCTTCGTGGCTGTGGTTAGGAACGGTTCGGACATGTTTGGACATATACATCAACAAGTCATCAACATGCAAGGGGTCAAGTTTTTAGTCTCTGTGTGCAATGCATCCCGGAGCAGGCTAAGCTCGCGTTCGAGTACTCCTTGAAGAACCTGCTTTGGAAACAAGCGGTGCCTGACCTGACATGACGGTGAGGTTTATCTTAGGTGTGGGGGCTTGTAAATTGTGCCCGATTGATTCGAGGCCTTCTACGCTGAGAGGCTTGTAGCCGAGCGACCTTGCGACGAAACGCCTATGCCTGAGTTGAGTGGTCCTGCTGATGGGAAGTGCCCATTAATTGTTTTGGCCATTCAGACAGTTGGCTACGTCCTTCTGCAAGGACGTATCTGCTTGGGCTGGCCTACTTCCACAATCAGGTGCTGCAGAAGCTAACGATGGCAACCCACAGTCCGACCCGTTCGACGGGCGTGTGTTACACGTGCGTGCGTGCGTGGGCGGGTGGGTGTGTGTGTGTGTGGGTGTGTGTGTGGAAGCCCTGATTCTAAGCTAAGGGCTCGTGGATGTTGATCAAAATCGCTTTTTCAGTTCCGGGTACATTCTTGAACCGCAGGGGGCAGCAGGGAGTCCACAGTTCTGCTGCTGCCAGCGCAGACAGCTGTGGATACTCCGTGAAGCAGATTGGGACGCCAATCTGTGTACCTGCAATATCGTGTCTCAGAAAGTCGGGACCTTTTCCACTTAGCCAAACCGTGTTCCAAAGTCAGGCGCTCGGAGAACAGGTACATGATCATGAGGTCTCTTTCCGACAATCAACATCTGACAGGTTTCTAAGGCTACCGAACGCTCGACTTCCCCAATACCATGATCGTCAAAGAAACTGGACAGTGGGATATCACAATTACTCCGTGTACGTGTGTACGTGCATACGTGCGTACGTGTGTGTCTGTGTGCTGAAGATGTGCTATTGGAAAAAGACGTTAAAACTATTTTTGAGTTTACGTCCCACGGAAGTTTCGTCTGCTCTGAGGATCTCTTTGTTTTTTCTGGTGCTTTTGCTGTCGAGTCGGAATTGATTCGAAGACTGAGGCGGATCGAATCATGCATGGACCGCGCGTTCGCTGCCCATCGAGTGCTCTCAGTTGGAAAATCAAGCCCACGGCAGGTGGCCAAACGTTGTGTACAGTCTTCAACTCCCTTTTCCCAACTTCGGTGGTTTGCACGGGGGATCATCAGTGGCGTGACTTTCATCCACCGTGGGCACCTGTGGGCACGCAGTACTGGTTCGGATCCGCACCACCTGCGAGATGTGCAAATGGTTTAACGTGTCGTTTAGCTTCTTGCGGCAGCTCGTTGTGTCGCAACCTTAAAGTTTGCTGGAACTATGCGAAACGTTTCCTTTTGGATGCCGTGGGATGCCGTGGGCCTATCTTCCCTGGCCAAGCACGTGCAACTCATTGCACACATAAACTCACATGAATGGAGTAGGCTGGCCTGAGTTCGAGAGATGTTTGCAGCAGCGACAGGCACGCGCCGTTTTCGGTGGCCTGTGCGGTGGCGCACAACCGCTGCTCAGCTGTTGCTCCTTCTGCTCCTTCTGCTCCTTTTGCTTTAATGGATCACGCACATGCGGCTCGAATGGGAATGGCACAGCAAGGATCATCGAGAAACTCATAAAATCATCGCCTGCGTTGTCTGGCAGCCTGTTTCTCGCCCTTTGCTTTTCGCAGAGAGTGGCCGCCAAAACACACGTCGCCAGCAGCTTCCAGCCTCTCAGCTTCCTGCGAAACTGCCCATGCGACATCCGCGGCCTTGTGCAATAGATTCCAAGCCCGGATTGCATTCCCGCCTCCAAAACAAACAAGTGCGAAGTCCAAAGGGCAGGGTTCTTCGCGAAAGATCCACGTGAGGTCCGCGTAAGTCATGGCGGACATTCTTAGACATTCCGGGCCCACGGTTTTACGTCGTAAAGGGTTTGGCAAAACCTGCAGGATTTAGGTTCTAGCGTTCGTTGCACTTTCCAAGAACTGCAGAGTATCTCGTCACCCTGTGTGTTTGTGGGAACGCCATAAGCCCTAAACCCTTTAAGGCTGTGAATTTTATATTCGTTAGCCTCGAAAGTTCGGGATTCAGGTCTTGAAAGTTGGGCTCATAACAGAGACCCGTACGACGATGGGCCCGCGAAGTAAGTTGTTTCTCCGCGAAGAGCTCATTTGGGGATGAAGGAGTTTAGATCAGGTCACTGCCTGAGCCTGGTCAAAACATAAAGGTGTCAAGGGCGGTGTCCCAGCAGTTAGCATCGAAACCCGAGACAGGACGGCTTCAAAGATCAGTGAAGGTGCAGACTGTGCAGATGAACCTGTTGCCAGGAGCTGGCCAGGGCGCAGTGGCACCTGCAGGCGCAAGCGAAGCGAACTTTCAATGCAACGAGGATGCGCGAGGACGGTTCTTAAGAAGCTCTGTGCAGAAGACGGTGCCAGGGCAATAAGCTTCCCGAAGCCAGGCCCGGTTCTGCCATGGCTCCGATGGTGTTCGTATGTGTTTGTAGAAATATTCAGAGTCTTGGAGGTACTTGCTTGCGAGGTGCTGCTCGCAGTTAAAGCGCTTCATCCTCAGTGTGGGTCCGTATGTTGCATTGCGGGCGCAAGCCGGGAACCACTAGTTGAGTTTGCCCCACTTGCCCCACTTACCGTCCTCCTTTCCCGACGCAAGTCTCCCTCACAGTCAGGCGTCACGATCCAGCTTTCCCTTTGTGGCATGTCGAGGGCATCTGAGGCACCCCCACCATCCCCCACCCCCCTCCCCCTTTGATGACAAGGGGAAGGCGTCGGGATCCACGCTTTGTGGGGCAAATTCTGCCGGCACTGGTGCTTTTTTCCTTTTGTTCCCCACCCTCGGTGTGGTTTTTAGGATTTTGAACTAAGCTCTCCTCGCCCTGCTCCTCGCCCATCACCCGTATCCCACACCAGAGTATCCCAGAGTGTCCCTGGAGTGCCCAACCGCAAACAATTCCAAAGCTGCAGCGTGGGGGTGTTCGAAGTAAAATGTGTTTTGTTGTTTTTTGTGTTTTTTTTGCTGCTGTTGCCCTTGGTCGCTGGAAAAGAGAAAGAGAGGGAAGCTCGAAAGAAAGAGTTGAAGAATGAAAGAAGGCAAGGAAGAAAAGATAACCCTTAAACCATTTCCTGGCCCCAAAGCAAAGCAAAACCCTAAGTCTTCAGCCCGAAAGCCGGTAGAGGGAAAATGAAGGAAAGAAGGTCGGAAGATCGGCCGAAAGCGCTAAGACCCTGAAACCCTGAAACCCAAAAACAATCAACCTCAGCCCTAGGCCCTAAGCCTCAAGCCCTAAACTGGGCCTGAACCCTACACCCTTAAACCCTGAAGCCAGTAAAGAAACACAAGTAGTCAGAAAAGAAATGTTCCCTTCATTTCGTATCCCAGGAGTAAGTATAGCACTTCTAGTCCAAGATCTCTGAGATTCCCTCATGTTGTGTCACAGATCGTCCGATCCTCTACAGCCCCCAGGCTGGGATCTCGCTGAAGATGCACTTTTGCCTTCCAGCGCGGGAGGTCAGAGTTCCCAAACAGCCTCCACATGCTATGGCGACAGGAGGAATCCTAGAGGGTACGAGTAACATGGGTAACTTCATTGTGATGACATGTTGCTGTGGGGTCTCTCAGGCAACCTCAACGAGGTCGTCAATGGTGCTGCAGGCCTCTTCCTGTTTGGTCAGGCGCCCGCGCTTAGGTGCTTCGGTGCTTCGGTGCTCCGGTGCTCCGGTGCTCCGGTGCTTCGGTGCTTCGGTGCAACCGAGAACAGTCTAGTCATTGAAACTGGCCGCACAATGCACCCCCCCCCCCCTGACACAAAGGGTGCACATGTGCTGAGAGGGCCAGCGGGGCATTGCGCGCAGGTCCAGGAGAGGCAAGGCCGGCGAGAGCAAGCAGTCGAGTGCTACTTCAGGTGTCTGCAGGAGTGCCCCTTTATGCCTCCTTGGCCTGATTGCATATGGTGGGCAAAGTAGGCAAAACAGCACTGGGACTTTCCTTTGCTGCGGCATGCCATGATTCTGGGGGCATTCACGACAGGTGGGAAGCCTACGAGCGCTGGTCTTGGCTGGTGCCGAACGCTTAACCCGGGGATCTGTCCCTCATGGCAGCATGTTTCTTTGATTCCACTACCAAGCTCTCGACTTAACATACTCGTCCGAATGCATCTCCTTGGATCAGAGGCTGGGATCACCATCCCCCTCGCCCGCGACTCTGTTTGTGTTGTTTTTGGTGTTCTATTTTCTCCGGTGTTCTGCCGCCAAGCTAAACTCCAGAAAAGCGAAAAGGGCAAATGCGGTGACATTTTTACGTTCGAAGCGCTAAATAATCCAGGAGTCTAAGAATCTAACCAAGGCGCTCGTCAACTGCTGGAGTCGCACCATCGACCTTCAGGCCTGTGCAGATGTTTTATTCAGGATGCTGACTACTACGGTGTTGGATCAGTGGTGTCTGGTGATTCCATGATGCATCCCCCGCAGTGACGAGAAGCTGGCGCAGACAGCTGCCTTAGTCAGCTCCAGCAGGGAGGCAGGAGGGGGAGACGAGTGCAAGCATCAGAGCGTTTCTAGGAGACTAAGAAACAAGGGAGATGTCAGCTTCAAAATCCAGGTGGGGGTGGCAGTACCCGCACCACTGCGAGCCCCAGGCGTTTACTTGCGTCAGGGGAAAAGGGGGCAGGGGAGTAAAAGAACATTTGCTCTATTTTTGCTCAGGGGTGAGTACGGATGGCTCACGTTTCGAGGGAAGGACGGTATCGGATGAATGGGACATCAAGGCTGCAGTCAGAATCTATCACTGGCTGGCCATGTAGGAGGGAATAGAACTGCCTCAACGTGCATGGAGTTCATGACTCAGGGCGATGTATGCTTTAGGTTTGCCCCTCTGACGACAAGCTAGAAGCACATGATCGGTTGTTTCTGCAGCGATGCATCAGGGCATGGCGCTGAGCGAGTGTGGAACTCTCAGAGTGGGGCAGCTCATGGACAGCGATCGATAGATGATTTGTAGACCCATGGCATTGTAATGGATGCCCACGGATGTCCACACACATGCCCGCCCTGCCAAACATGCTGGGATCAGTGGCCAGCTTCATGGAAAGTGGCGTTCACCCCGCAACATTTTCGGCTCTCAGAGGGCTGCTCGCAGCCTCAGTTTCACTGACATGGCGGAATGATCGTTTCACCGGATTCAGCCGATCCAGAGCCCCCTGAGCCATTCAATGCAGACTGCGAAGCCTGCGGAGAGGGGCGGGATCCAGCAGATCCAGGTGGCGTGCCCGCACCTCTAGTGTTTGCAGATACGAACCAATGAAGACAATCAAGAGACATATTTGCGCGACTGAGGCTACCGCGATGCGGCAGCACTTCCTCTTCCAATTCAGAGGATAACTAAATGCCACAAGCTCCTTGCTTCAGAAAGCACGGCAAGATACAGCAAGGCTTGGTACGGCTTGATCCCTCTCTTAGACTGTCTGTTCAGAGGTTCGTTCCACTGAGCCGGCCAGTTGGCATGGTGGACTTGGGAATCGACCCATTGTCCTGCAGCCTATGTCGAGCTGGTGATTGCAATGGCGCACGTGTGCCTCAGATGCCACATGCGATAGTCAGTTCCTGCATGTTTACATTACTTCACAGCTTGTTGCCTCTCACAGCTTGAGTCTCCAAGATGAGTCCGACAAGATACATGTGTACTCTCATGTGCTGTCCAACGTGCATTCCCTCACGTTTTATGAAGACTCGCACCTCATGCTAGCGAATGCCAATCATTCTGCTCATCGGCTTGAGTCCTTTGCCACATGTGTGACCGATTGTCCCAAGGCCCTCTCACAGACTCTCAGCACCGAAGCGGGTTCCAGGCCTCACTCATTTCAGGCGGGGAATATCTTAGAATGCCGCAAGCGCCTCACTCCTGAACCGCCCGGTCAGGTGCGGGTTTCAGGCTATAGTTACTATAGTGTTTAAACAGATTGCCCCAGAGGTGTTTGAGACTGCTGCTTGGCTGATTAGGTGTGGAGAGGGGGAGGGGGGGGGAAGCGGGGACGGGGCGGGGGGGTGGGGCAGCAGGGGAGTGTACAGCTTAGCACTTGTCGCTCCACATCGTATTTTCCTAGCAGCACCTTGCATTATATTAAGCATGTGATTTTGCATGTAATATCTGAATTGGCATTTCTTCTGCATTGCTTACATGATATATGTTTCGGGAACGACATGAGTCATCTTAGCATTCTCCTTTTCTGAAACCCTCGCAGACGCCTGAAATGCTGCCTCCATCCAAGACAAAGCCTACCGCAGAAGACCTAAACACGACCCAAATAGTGTAGCCAAGTATAACCATTCGCTCCCTTCTACGCCCCTCACAAACACTAGCATTCCAAATAAAGTGGCTACCTTCTAACCCTTCCCAAAGTTGTCAAAACTGCAAAAGCTAGTGTCAGCTGTGTTTGTCCGGAAAAATGAGCCCCTTCTAAAACTCTCCAAGCACTTGAAACCCATTGCATTCCATACACAAAATACAAACAATGCACATGACCCGCCGATAGTGTGACCAGTCAAGGCATCATACAGAGTGCTGAACATCACACAAAGCCGCACGAACGAGTTGAGCAAATCATCGCCAAGCCGGCGAAAGCGGCTTGACAGGGCTTCTAATCGTCTTGGCGTCCCAGCAGCTGTCCTTCATAATTTGCAGAGTGTCGATATACCTATCGGATGACCTGAGCGCAAGTTACACAGTAGCGATGTCTTCTAAAAAAAGTTCCCAGTGCTGCCTTTTTCGTGACAGAAACTCCTCGAAAGTGTAGGGGGATGGGGTGTCCTGCTTTCGCATGATAGGAACTCATTCAAACTTTAGGGGGATGGTCCTTGCAAATTCGTGAGAGAAGCTCCTCCAGTTTTTGGCGGGATGGTGTTTGCAATTTGTCATCTAGAGGGATGATGCTTGCGATGTATTCGTATTTTCAAGTCTCAGGATGGTGATTGCAATTTGCCTGTTAAAAAACACTTTATAATCATCATCATCATCATCATCATCTTCTTCTCAGTTCTAATGTCGAAGTTCCGTCTTGGAATGTTGAACTTCAGTACTCGAGCTGGATCCAAGATTCAAGATGCAAGAATCTCGAGTCTTGGATCCGGCCCGGAATGTTGAACTTCAATATTGCAATGTTGAGCTTCAGTGGAATATTAAACTTGAATCTGGAATCTTGAGTCCGGTCACCGGTTGCAGTTCAATGGTTACCGGAGAATCGCAGTTCGAGCAAACAAATCGTTCATTGAATATGAAATGCTTTGAAATGGCCAGAAGGCCTCGATAAATTCGATTTCACAGGGCTTTTAGGGACCTATTTCGCGGGCCCTTCAGACTACATTCCGAAGATGCCCACAACCCCAAAGATCTGTAGCATCATCACCAGAAATCCCATCCTAGGTATTATCCTGAATTCCATCTGTTAGTGGTTGATGCAAGAGCCAGACCACCTAACAGCCCAGCTAAAGACAGGTTCACGGCCGGATGGAACTCTCTTGACAAGGAACCCACCCTCGGGACCACATAAAGCCCGTACAAAGTAACCGTGCAGAAGCACCCATCATAGAAGTCTAACCTTTAGGAAGAGGAGACGACCAAGAGCCCACGTCAGCTGTTATAGTCTGTCACAAAACCTTATTGTATGATGATAAGAGTGCAGAAGTTGCAAAAGTCAAGTGGTTAGTTCACGTCATGGTTCAACTTGGCGCCTTGTCAATGTTGAATACATCGTGAAAAATAGTTTCAGAGGTCAGTTTATTCAAAGACGCACTATCCTGGCTTCACATTCGGTCGTTTCTGGGTTTGCTTCCGTCTTTTCCGCTTTTGCCCAGCCATCGGCAACTGCGGGGTCCCTTTTCTTAGAGACTGAAACCCAACTAATTAAGCATTGTAGAATGACTTGAGCAACAATAAGCTGCGAAATGTCATTTCCGGATTCCGTCTGTTTCACCCGGCCCCTTTCTGTTGAGACTGGAACGCAAGAGGATGCGCTGTTGGGGCGAAATGCGCTAGTAGCAATGGCAACAGTGGCAAAAAACATGTGAGTCATCGAAATCTGCGTAGCAAAATGGATAGTAAGGCTATCCCGCATGAAAAATGCACTAGCGGAATTGTCACGTATTGCACGAAAACACAGACACACAACCCATTCATCCATGAAATCCACCACAAAAACAAAAGTAGACTTCAAATCATTTGTGCCAGATCAACGACAGACTGCATTTTAAAACCAGAATCAAACGCTATTTCATAGACGCAATCTTCATAGCGAATGGTCTCAATGGATAATTTTAACGCTACGCGCATGGTGATTCCGCAGCGCCCAAGTCGCTGCACCTTGGGGGGGGGGGGGCAGGGGGGGGGGGCGGGGGGGGGGGCAGGGGCGGGGCAGCGGGGGGGCGCGGGGGCAGGCGGGGCTTCAACTGTCTCTGGTCCTGGAACCGTCCGCTTTCAAATCGTGGTCGCCTACGCGGGGTACATTCCAAGCAAAAAAGGGGGGCCAACGTTTCGGCTTTGGGGGGGAGGATTTGGAGGGGGGTGCCTGTTCCCACAACCTATACACCTTCGGCCCGAGGCCTCGGCGGATATACTTCCAAAATGCTTGTAGAAGAAAACAGCGGGTAGCTGCATCTTTTGTGAGAGAGCCTCATAATGCTTACTGGTGCCAGCAAAGATCGATTAAGGTAAGTCAATAGCTACATATTTGCACATGCAAGAACGTGTTGTTGTACAATCGTGCTCATCTATTTGCTACTACTTCTCTTGCGCACATTAAAGCTTGAAAAATGTTGAATCTTCTGAATGAGTACAGAATCCAACACAAGAACTTCCTGGTAAGAATTTGCACCTGAGTATGCTTAGAGGCATGCGGCACGAGTTCTTAGGGACCAAGTGCCGCTACGAAAGTTACTCTTAGCAGAACCTGCACCTCTGGGTTTATGGTACTGTTATGAGGGTGCACGAACTCGACTCCTCACTTGAGCTTTGGCAGGAACAGGACACGTGGGCGTCCCAGGAGTTCGTCGAGTCCCGGAATCTTGTGTTGGCGGTCGGCGAAAGCGTCAGGCCTCAACTTCGCTGAGTACGACAGTTACGACAGTTACGACAATAGAAGAATTAGGAATGTGGGTTCCTTGTGCCGAATCGGCTGTTCCAGGCCTTGCATCCCGGAAGTTCCTTCTTCTAATGAAGCATTGTGTGGCGCTGGCAGTGACGCGACTTCTCAAGAGCGCACATCTCCATGGGTGACCTGCTGTTTCGAGGCAGTCGCGCAAATCTATCAATTTCCACCGGGAACACATAGCAAACCTCACAGGCTCCGCCGGATTCTGATACATGACTTTGCCAGACAAGAGTCCTCGCAAGTCTTTCCATCCTGCAGCACAAGGTGCTGCTGTGCCAGGTGATGAAGAGAAGTTCGCGGGCCATGTCCTGTGCACCTCCAAAGGAGGAGCAGATGTGGTGTCCGAGCTGTGCACTGGAATCGAAGAGGCAATGCAGCAGGCTCAGAGGCATCACTGAACAGTAGAAAAGAAGGTCAGAGCCAGCTCCAGCTCCTTTTTGCTCAGGTCTGATATGGAGGGCTATCGATCTCAACTTGCAGCGATCTGTATGACCATGCAAGCTGCGGAGCAAAGCCGCCCAAGCGTCGTCCGCGAGAGCTGGGATGAGCCGGATGAGCTCCCTGCGGATGAAATGAAGCCAGCAGGCATCGGTCCGAACTCCAAAATCTCTTATGTCTTATGATAGCCGTTGATTCTCGTTGATTTCCCACAATGGAGGTGATGCAATGGCAGAGGGCAGCAGCCAACAGGCGGCCATTGTGTACCTGAGTTGGGCGACATGATCCCCGTTGCAAGCATCCCGTAACAGCACCGGCCACCAGCGCACGAGTTTGCAACAACCCCCAACTCTGCTCGCGAGTAGCTCCGAATATGTGGTTCTTGGCGCACGAGTGTGGAAGCATAGCCTCTATGGAGGCATTCCTTCCACCACACAAGAGTGTGACCTTCCCAATGGATGATGAAGAGGCGGTCACCTAGCTGCCGCATGGCAGTCTGCACACCGTTCGAGTGGAGGCAGTAGTTCGGTGCTTGCCAGCACAAGTCAAACAGGTGGGTGGTTGTGGTGGCGATAGTGCCGAGCTGGCCCACGCTGCTCAGGCTCACAAATGACTTGACGCGCATCGGCAACACACCAACTTCTTTCTTGCCTGCTAGGTGCTGAGCCAGAGGCCGCCACTCACAGGCTTGGTTATCTGATTCTGCTGTTCACTCTCCGTGAAAAAAAGGGGGTACACATGGTACAACTTTCCCAGGCAGCGGAGATATTCCCGGGGCTGACACAAAACGACTCGACAGCAGATTCGCCCCAGCCAGCCGTTCCGCTGCACTTGTGACTGAATTGACAAGAGCTCCGAACTGTGAGGATATTGACAGAATTGTGAGAGTCTCGCTAAATTTCTTCGCACAGGCTATCACCGGATACGAAATTTGATGGGACCTCAGCTCCCAACAGCCATCAACAGCCATCAAAAGCAGCGCAGCACAAGGACTTGGGGTTTCTGCCGAGGCTGCGATCGGGCTCCAGGATCTCGGACCTGGGCCGCGACACCTCCCGAGGCATTCTGGAGCTCCCCCTTCTGGAGCTCCCCATGACAACTGAAGCTGATATGTCTACAAAGTGAAGCACATATGATATATATATATATATATATATACACATGTTTTTAATGTATCTGGTCAGCGCAGCCGCCGTCGACAGGTCCTTTTAAATGGTCAATCTTCTTCACGCGCATTGTGCATTCACCGACGTTTGATTTGATTTTTGCTTGCTCCTGAGCATTGCAGTTTCAATAACTCAAAGATGGAGACACAGCGGAGCTGCGATGTGCCAACTTAGCAAGGCATTCCTCATTGTGGTGAGCAGCATCGAACGGGCCTCAGTTGAACCTGCGGCAAGTTGCAGGCAAGAACTTAGGTTGCACGGCAAGTTCGTTGTATTTATTCAGAGAAGGGGTCTAAGCTGCCACGACCGCTGCCGCAACGGCGCTGCGCCCGACACAGCAGCCATGAAGAATAGAAAAGACCTGACGAGGCCATGCTCTGGGCACAGCAAGGTGCGAAGTCTAAGCTCGAGCAGTCAATTTATGCAGGTTCGCAAGTTGACCTGCCGTTGTCGGGACGGGCAACGGTACGAAATGGCAAGAAATCGGTGCTGTGACAAGAACCACGGACACTCGTGCCGCGGCTGATCGCACAAATAGCCGACGGCATTGGCCCTTGTTCTATGGCCTGGGTACCTGTTGTACCTGTTGTACCTGCTTGGTCGCGGCTGAGGGTTGCTGATGGCTCCTACTGTGCCACAGCATCGGGAACTCTTACAACGCAAAAGCTTTGCATTTGTGCTCGCCGTGATCGCCCAACACCCTAAAACCCTGAACCCCTACACCCTAAAGCCCCAGACCTCAGGACCCTAAATTCTAAACCCCAAACCCTCAAACCCTAAACCCCAAACCCTAAAACCCTAAAAACCAAAAAAAAAAAAGACCTACTAACCAAAAAAACCCAAACCCTAAAACCAAACAAACCCTAAACCCTACAATGCAGCTGCAGCTGCCTCGTGCTTCAGCTTCAGCGTCTGAAGGCGCCAGGCCCGACTTCCTCACTCTCCTGAGGTCTCGGGTTTTAGGGATTTAGGGTATAGGGTTTTAGGGTGTTGGGGTTTAGGGTTTGGGGTTTGGAATTTAGGGTCCTGAGGTCTCGGGTTTTCGGGTTTAGGGGTTTCGGGTTCTGAGTTGCAAAAAAGACACTCAGAATTCTTTGTAATTCGCAGCAGTTCGCACTTCGGACGAGCTGTGCTTGCTCTCGGCTTGCATTCCTTGACATGTCGGTATGTCGATGTGTCGCGAATGTACAGAGTCCAGGGATGTCTAGAGTGTTCTTTTTCAGGGCAGCAAGCTGCGCTCAGCCATTGAACATGGCACAGCGTGTTAAACCAAATTCTCAGATTAGTGGCTTGACCCGCTTGACTCATGACTTAAGCTGAGGTTATGGCCTTGCAGGTTCAGTTCCAGGGCCTGGACGTTGGCCACATGGCTTCGGAATGTGGGTTACGGGTGTGAGAGCAGAAGCCTTGAAGTGGTCAGAGAAAACAAGAGAAACACACACACAATTTGCAAAGGCTATATGATTGCCTACTTCGGCATGTCCACACCAGCCAACGAGCTTTGGCCGGATGCCCTGCTGGTCTTCAGCAAAATTGAGTTGGTTCTCGGGGCCCCTTGCCGGCAATGACTCTTGACTCGCGTCTCCCAATGCGTGACCCGTGTGGCTTGAGCCTCTTACAGGTGATCTTCGCACTCGAGCCTTACCTGCACGAAGGAACATGCCCCGGGCGCTTAGTGCTTGGTTACCCTCCCAATCCATCCTACCTTGGAATTCAGAGATGCGTTGGCTTTTTTACACCAAGGAGATTGCAGCAAGGATGATGGCTGCTCGTGGCCGTTTTTTCTGTGACATGTGGAATAACGTTGATCTGCGCGTCGCTCAGAGAGTTGGAAGAATGCAACAGCAGTTTCGCCCTCTCTTTTCATGCGAGTGCTTGGTGCGGTGACCTGTGAATTGGCCAAGGTGTGTCGTTGCAGCGTGGGCTGCGACCAAGATGCAGATACGCATGTGCAAGATACAGTTTGAGCCAAGCTCTGGTGTTGAAGAGATGTGAGGATAGCACACCTGTGTCACCGTCAGAGCAGTTTGCAGTGCAGGCACATGCTGGATGTTGACAGACTCTTCAGCACTGCAGGTAGACACGGCCACCTCTACCACTTTGCCCGTTGACCCCATGCTTCTGCGACTGGCGAGACTGGTGAAATTGTTTCGCCTGCTTCGGCTGATCAGGCAGCTGTCGTTAGGCAAAAGATCAAGCAAACCTGTTGAGCTGCGCTTGTTTTGTCCATTTGCCGCCTTGCAGGAAAGTGAAAGGCTTTGACTCACTCTACATCATGGTTCGGGGCTCAGGGTGAGAAGTATGAGTGCACTACGCATCGAAATTGGCTCCAAACTTTGCGACCCCCAGGTCACCTCCATCAAAGCGAGCTTTTCCGCGCTTCTCTGGTCGACTGTTCTTCTCTTTGCAGTGCTGACGAGCCCTAGCATTTCAACAGTCGATTCTTTAGCGCGTGGGCCTAGCTCATGAGCTTTTTTGGCTGGTAAGTATTATTTCCGTATAAGAGATGTAGACCTCAGGACCATTGCCTTGGTCCTGACTACGCTTGTGGAAGTGTACATCAACGACGAGAGCAACCCAATCGAGAGAAGGATGGAGGTGTTTGCTTACTATGGTACCTTCACTCGCTGCGCCCTGCTGCCCGTCGGCACTTTGGCCAGCTCGCGCTGCTTTTTCGACAAGTCTGCGAGCAAGTGCGGCAAAGGTGGGGCCACCACTCAAGAAATAAGACAACAGAAACGAGGGCCAAAGAGGGGATCGACAGACAGCGCGAGACGGCGTCGAATGTTTGGTTCGAACCAGCAAGATGCAACTTGTGATACGTGGACGCAGGAAGTTACATGACTGGCATGACGGGAACATGGCTGCAGCCAAGGACTCTCCTTGAGCTGACGCTGGCGAACTGGGTTCCAGCCTCTCGTGTGCTGACAGCACCTTGGCACTGAAATAGGCGAGTAAGTATAGCAAAACCTGGAGTGGGTTTTTTCTGTGCCGAAAACGTGCGTACCTCTCAGAGACTTGGCCTAGAGGCGATGTGGGGTGTGTCTGGGGGAAGACAGTCAGGAATGAAGTGGTTCTGTTCGGTTCTGCCGACTTGTTGATGCGTTGATACTTGTAGTTATTAGTTAAGCAGCAACCGCTTGTGTATTCAATTTCCTGATTCGAGAACTATCTCTGCAGCTACAGAGCTGCTTGAGAACGTGACTCTTCCCACACATCCGAATGCGGTCTGATGGCGGGAAATGAAGGAGAAACTGCTGCTTCAGGCTTATGGATGAGGTGAGTTCGTGAAGCAGTGAGTCAAACCGCATCAACAGTGCAACGAGCTTCCATGGAGCTCTCTGCTAGGAATACGTCAGCGAGTACTACACGATCTTTGTATTGGCGTTTCAGGCGTCCATGGGATTTTCTGTAGTGAAGGTGATGCCCTTAGCTTCTTCCTCCTTGCCGGCAGATCTCAATTAAGCTCTCGTGTATGCACTCAGCATATTATACGTTCTGCCGATTACGTCACGTCTTTGGTGTTAAGGTCATCATGGGGGTTTTCCTCCAGAACACGTTTGCGGTAGCTGCCAACGACGACGTGTGCCCCAGAAGCATGCAGCAGCAATGCAGCATGCAGCGACACCACATGCCTGTAGAAAGTACTCTCGGACTCGGCTCGGGCATGCCCCGAACTAGGATCATGATGAACGCCAAAGACAGAGCTCTACAGACGCACAAGCAGAAGATGCACCTTGGCCTGCACCATCTTCTTTGAGTCGCAAGCCACTCAGAGCCGTGACAAAGGGCTGTGCTCTTCGAAGCGGCGGACGATAACGGCGATGGTCGCTTAGACCGCCAGGAGTTCCAAGACATCCTGGAAGATCCGATTGTTTCGTGGCGCGGGAGAGAGCAGCAGTGCGCAGCGGCGGTTTCTTTCAAGGTCTGTGTAGAATCTGTTGTGAGTACAGCAACACATGGAGCCCTAATTTGCCCACTCCATGCCTCTACGCGTTTTACATCGAGCTCCACGCCTGAGGTTGCCAGATGGTTGAGTGCAATGGGCTTTGACACTTCTGTCATGGGTAGCGATGATCCTAGGCTGCAGATGAAAGCTGGGGCAACTGCCAGGTTGCTGTTGAGGTACTTGGAACTAAGTTTTACCGCAAGAGCAACGCCGACTGTGTGGATCCACGGGCAATTGCGGTCTCTGAGGACATTTTTGACCTCCTTTGCACCAATGACACGGGCGACATCAGTGCGGAGGACGAGAGAATCGAACTGCTTCAGCCAGGTCAAGACTGCAGGCGAAGGTAGTGGAGACGAGCACACATGGCAACCCAAAAGCGCCCTTGAGGGCGCCAGAGTATTGCCTCTTCCCTAACCCATCTGGACTTTGCTTGCCCCCTCCATGCTCCTGCAGACGAGGCAGAGACATGCACAACACTCTCAACCTTAAACCGTTAACCCACTGAATGTTGCAGCTGCTTTGTGGGCCCCTGAACAACGTTAACTTTGCCGGGCTGTTCAGGACCGTGTGACTGTTTGGAGGTCCAAAGAGGGGTCCTGTTCATCGTCAAGTCGCTCCCGAAATCCGGCTTTTCTGTTTTTCGGAATTTAGGATGAATTTAGGGTTTGGTTTTCGACCTAGTTGAAACCCCTCATCCTCAAGCCATAAATTATAATAAAACTCATCCCTGTTGAAGTCAGATGGCCACCGTAGACCGTTTACGGGGACTCGGAATGCGCCTGTTCGGGAGCAGGGGGGGAACACGCTCAAGCAGCTTGCAACATCACTACAGTTCACAAGAAGAGATCTGCAGAGGAGATGATTCATGGCGTTGAGAAGCTCAGCGGCCCAGCCTCGAGCTTGAACATGGCACGGCTCCTTTATGAGGGTGAGGCCGCCCCTTGTGACATTGTGAGGGGTAGGTCAGGACTGCTGTAGGGGCGCTCCGTGCTTTAGGGTTTCCCTCCCTCCAGGGCCTGCGCCAACAAGTGGAGCTCATGGCAGACAACCTCACCCGCGAGCTGGTAAGTCTAGGCGTGAAAGAGGCCATGGGGACACGAATGTTCGACCTCCAGTGCTCTCCGTTGTGATGTAAGCAACGGCCTAAGCATGAGGTGCGGCGCAATTGCGTGGTCGAACACACAATGCTAGAGGGCGTATTCAAGTGAGAACGTCTCTATGGTCTCGGAGACATGGAATTTAGAGATGCAGGTGCACTACTGTCAACACAGTAGCAGTACTATTTGTCTCAGTGCCGATTTCGTGAAAAGTTACATGCGAACCCTTGAATTTGGCCAGGTGACGCCAAGTCGTTTCTCGATGAGACGGATTTCACAAGTCAGCTCTGACCGCTCCCAGAGTAGAGCTACAAGCGTTGCGACATCCAGGCCGCCGTCCTCAATGTCTAGGTCAAGTTTCCTGTACTTCGATCCTGCACTGTAAGATTTTGATGTTTCTGGCGGACTACTGGTAGGCGTACCTATTATGGCAGAGCTGCACGACAGGACTCACGGCAAAACTGTGTCGCAGAAGATCTTCGCACAGCGAAAGCTGGCTGCTGGCCTAGGAATCACGATCCATTGCTTGCAGGGCCTTGCACTACATCACTGACGAATACTGAAGCTTCTTACGTCCTTGCATTTGTAAGGCCTAATGGGCCTAATCTTCGCCTGAAATTTGTAGAGTGCCCCGCTGAATGTCCCTGCAGACAAGGCTTCATTCCAGTCTGAAGCGCCGCGCCCTCGGATGCTTCCAAACGTCAAGGCTCGCACTCACGCGAAGATGTGTTTTGTCTGGAGGCAACGCTTCTGGGAAGTTGCTCGTCACTCGCTACATCACTTCACAGACTCTTGGTTAGTTTGTGCATGATAGGATAAAGGGATGTTGACCGCCAAGTCTAGCCTACACATCCAGCTAGATGTGTTAACAAAATTTCCTAGCATACTGAGCACAGGCCCAACAGATGTTAGTAAAATACTGCTTGGTTCAAGACTGGTCCTGCATGCAAGTTGTTCCATGGCAGTCGGCAGTCACTCTTTGAGTGGCAGTGCACTTGCGCACATGCAACGATGTGGCACAGAGTTACTGCTAAACACCATGAGACAGCATTTTGTTCCAGTCACCAAAGGCTCTCCGTAGTTGTCATGATTGTTAGCATGGCTGCGTCCTTGCATCAAGCATCTAAGTCGCCCCACAAAGTTGTAGCCTCTCAACTCTGAACGAAGCATCGCTATCATGCACAGCGCAAGCACGGATTCGAGGAGAGCTTCCAGTTTCAGCTGATGTTTGCCTTCCTGATCTGCGCGCTGACAGCCGTCATGGCCTTCCAAGCGGCTTGGTCATGAGATATGCTAGAAATTCTTCTTTCAGCCGACATATTTGAGGGAGAGTCATATAATGGATGAATCGAACCCCTCCGGTGAATCTGTGGCTTCCAGGTTCAATATCGAGGACTCGAGACTGGGCATCGGTTGGGCTTCAGAGGCGGGTAAGTCTGATGGCGAGCATGTGACATCTTTTAACCCACACGGCAAAAGCGTCGACAGATCATGTGTGCCCTCAGCAGGCTGAAATAGGGCGTGCACCATTGCAAGTGCAGGTCTAGAACAGCCCGCGAAAGAAGTCTGGCCTCATGCAGACACTGCCTTTGAGGTCTTTGACGTGTCTTGGATGGGGCAAAACTGCGCACATTCCGCTTTAAGACATGCTGACGTCCATTGGTGCCCCTGCATCCAGCATGTCCAGCCATCTCTGCCGAGATATTCTTCGGGGTCGCATTCACCATCGAGCTGGTCCTAAAGTTCGTGGCGAGCGTCTGTGGCTTCTTCAAGGACTTGAGCACTGGGGCGGGCAGTTGGTCACCAAAACCCAAAGTGAGTGCTCTTTGACTCTTTGGTTCGATTGGTTTCCGGACTTGCTCTCTGAAGGACGGCTGGAATCTCCTCGACGGACTCGTTTTAGCGATCTGGTATTTGGAGCGGGTGACCTCGACAGCTTTCCCGCTGGATCCGATGATCTTGCGCCTCTTCCGCCTGTCGCGCCTCATGCGCATGGTCAGGCCTTGGGCCGTGGAGAGCGAGAGAGCATGCTCCTGTAGGATACAAGGTATACTTCTATCGCACGGAATAGCATGTGCAACAGCGCCGAGTCCTATGAAAGTTGTGGGTGGTGTTCGGATGCATACCTCGGCCAAGTACTGGACAGGCTGGTCAAGATCTTCGAGCAGTGCGATGAGCCTTAACTGAAGACAGTTGCTAGAAACATGTTTTTTTTGCCAGACTATGTGCTTTGCAAAAAGTACTCGAATATCCTTGCGCAAAACTATTGTTTTTTTGTTTTGATTTTTTTATGTTTTTTACTTTTTACATTATTTTGATTGTTGTATTATGGTTTCAATTTGTAATTTGATACATAAATGACATAATATATAACATGAATATAGTCATTGAAAGCATATTTTAGAAATAATTTGATTGATTCAAATATTTGGGCAATGAATGAACTCAATGACAATTCGAATGATAACAGTAACGATAATACTGGCTCATCTGAGACGAAAATGGACACTGTGGTAACCTCGAGCGGTGTCGACGGCAGTCGTAGTAATAATGATAATACGATGTTATTTTCACGAATAGACAGTGAAGTAATATCACAACAATTATTAGTTTTCATTAATTAATACATATTTGATCCAATTTGATAATTGATTCTCATTCCATTCTGGCCAATTGGATGTGTTATAATTACCATTACCGGGGTAATGACATTAATATCTATAATTTATTAATATGTATCTATAGATTTTTTGGCATTTTTGGTGACCGCCAAACCACGTTTATATGAAGAACCTATGTATTTTTGTGAACATATTAATATCTATCTATAGTCACCAGCCTGATTTTGTTGACTTGACCATAAGGGATCGAAATATATTTTCTTCTAAGTATGTGTTCATGTTACCGCGAACAAATATTACGCCTAAAACTAACACCAACACTAAGCAAAATGTGAATTTGAGTGCCCGTTCCAACCATGAACCTGCACCAAGCCCTCGCCATTTTGATCCACTTTCGTGATGAATAGCACAGCCCGTCGGTCTGGATGTTAACACACTGTTGGGCCAGTGAGGCCTTGTACCTGATGCTGACCTCCATCCGTGCCTCGTTTGCTGCGCTGGCCTGGTCGAGCGCACTTCTGGTGCTGACTCCCGACATGAAGCTGCCATCTTTTTGCTTCAAAGCAGCGACATGTCTGTAGTAGTAGTAGTAGTAGTAGTAGTAGTAGTAGTAGTAGTAGTAGTAGTAGTAGTAGCAGCAGCAGCAGTAATAGTAGTAGTAGTAGTAGTAGTAGTAGTAGTAGTAGTAGTAGTAGTAGTAGTAGTAGTAGTCGTCGTCGTCGTCGTCGTCGTCGTCGTCGTCGTCGTCGTAGTAGTAGCAGTAGCAGTAGCACTAGCACTAGCACTAGCAGTAGCAGTAGCAGTAGCAGTAGCAGTAGGAGGAGTAGTAGCAGTAGTAGTAGTAGTAGTAGCAGTAGCATTAGCAGTAGCAGTAGCAGTAGCAGTGGGAAAAGGAGTAGTAGTAGTAGTAGTAGTAGTAGTAGTAGTAGTAGTAGTAGTAGTCGTAGTCGTAGTCGTAGTAGTCGTAGTCGTAGTCGTAGTAGTAGTAGTAGTAGTAGTAGCAGCAGTAGCAGTAGCAGGTTGTCGTCGTCGTCGTAGTGGTGGTAGTGGTAGTGGTAGTGGTAGTGGTAGTGGTAGTGGTAGTGGTAGTAGTAGTAGTAGTAGTAGTAGTAGTAGTAGTAGTAGTAGTAGTAGTAGTAGTTTTAGTAGTAGTAGTAGTAGTAGTAGTAGTAGTAGTAGTAGTAGTAGTAGTAGTAGTAGTAGTAGTAGGAGGAGCAGCAGCAGCAGCGGCGTTTGACAGTTCTCTAGAGCTGTCACGAAAGGGCTTGAAGAGCTGGGATCCATGCCAGGAGGTACGCCTGCAACTGAAAAATGATTTCTTCCCCTTCGGCAAACTGTGACCACGAATCCTTTGCCTCGTAGCCCGCACAGCTGTAGCATATGTACCCTCCCTGTGTCAGTTCGAACAACGTCTTTGTGGCCCTGGCCCTCAAAGCGTATCCTCGCACCAAGGATACAGATGATGCTTGCTCTAGCGATGGTGACATTGGTGGAGCCATACCTGACAGACCCGAGCAGTGCAGGAGATGCGCACAAGTTGATGCTCGTGTGGCTAGTTAAACAGTTAGAGCCAGGGAGCGTCATGGATGTCATTACATGGGTTGGAGACTGGTCATGTCGAGGAGACAGGCATGCTGTGTACCAATACTATGGAACCTTCACACGTGCCATGCTTACGTTGTTCGAGACTTGGCTGGGTTGTGAAGCAGTGCTGCCCATGACGCGCTTTCACAGACATATGCAAGTCAACGAGGATGTGTCCTTCGCAAGAGCCAAGGAAATTACGCTGGGCAATTTTGTCCCGGTAACCCGCCTCATGATGAGTGACGTGTCTGAGATCTACGTGACTTGGATTAGACCGATTCTGGAACAACTTCTCGCGTGCCATGTACTGTCAAACTTTGCATGCCCTTTCTATGCTGAGCACTTAGTACTTGACTTCAGATGACTTCAGTAGCCATGACATGCCACGACTGCAGACTGCAGACCCATGTTGTACAAGTAATTAGGAGATGCAATTGGCTCGAAACGTCGTCACAATAAAAACACCGCGTGTTTAGGCCGCACAGGGCTTCGGATCGCCAACTGCTCTGAAGGTTGTGTTTGCGCTGGTTCACAAGCTTGTGATCGGCTTTGCGGTGGTCATGGCCAAGAGCTTACAAACCGAATGCACACTAGCAAGGCACTAGCGAGGCACACAGTGGCAGACGGTGGCAGACGGTGGCAGTTAGGTCATCACGGGTGTCTTCATCCAAGAGACGGTGACGGTGGCACAAACCGACAACACGATTATGCTTACTCAGAAAGAGCGGGCGCTCAACTTGCACATGGCCAAAATGAGCCTCGTCATGCATGGAAGCAAGAATGTCGGGCGCAGACTCAGGTGACAAAGCCCACACTGTGCAGCTGCAGCTCTGTCAAAGGAGGCCTTCTAGAGCAGCTTAGAGCAGCCAAGGACCGCCTTGTTCAAAGCTGCCGACTTTGACGAGAGCGGCCGTCTGGACCGCGGCGAGTGGTTACAGGCCACAGCAGATGTTTTTGTCCGTCATAATCGGGCTCAGGAAGGCTCAGAATCAATGACTTAGGTATTGATCGTGGCAGAAGCAAGCTCAAGTTTGAGGTTTGCCTGACCACGGTTTGACATTCCATGTTCGTTTGATCAACTCTGAAGATGCAGGTGTGCGATGACTACTCCGTACAGCTGTGGCTGGCCGCTATGGGTCTGGATGTGAGCAATGCCGTGACTCAGATGCCAAGGCAGACCCCCAAAACCCAGGGCCGCTATTGTTTTGATCAGCAGGATCGCTGTGAGATGCGATCAAGACCAAAGGTCTAAATACCCTTGATTGCAAAGGACCTGCAGGTATATCTTTGCTGGCACCAGAATCCAAGGCTTTAGTCCATGAGCTGATATGTGCTGCAACTGGGTTGGAGGACTCCGGCAGTTGGAAATTCATGCGGCCTCTCTGCCACCCCTATCCTTGTTGCGCGAGGACCTTTCCGCAAAGGATCTGGTAATGGGTGTGGCGCGTCTTAAAGGCGCTGCCAGAAACATTGACATGGCACTCTTCCGGAAGGAGACCGGTTTGTTCAATGCCAAGTGCCAAGTAGCTCCAACGAGCACCAAGCTGTCGACCTCATACCTGTCAAGGAGTTCCTTGCGACCTCAAAGGTCGTGGAGGAGATTCAGGAATGCGTGTCTTGGGTTGTCTCAGGTAGTTTGCCAGGCTGTCTACTGACAAGATGCAGCACTCACATGGTTCGCATGGCTTGTGTTTCGATGCTCGTGCGCTGAGGTGCAGCAGTTGAGGGGAGTACCCCAGAACGCGCAGAGTACAAAAGTGAACGGATGCACAGCCCAGCTGCAGAGTTGCCGTCCCAGAAAGTCACACACACTGTCTTCCCCACATGTCGGAACATAGATTCTTCCTAACTTTGTGAGCTTCTGTGCACACTGCGTAGTTCTAAGATTCTTTAACAGTTTGGTAACCGCTTCTGCACCAGATGTATTGCGACTGTTTAAGGGAGCCTTTGCAGTCACGGCTGTTACAAGCAAGTGCACCACTGAAAGTTACTAACAAAAGTTCAAAGCGAAAGTGAGAAGGAGTGAGGGTTCAAATGGCATGAATGGCCTTTGTGCTCGGATTGGTTGCAGCGGCGCTCAGCGTCTGCTTGGCCAAGGCATCATGTCCGCAAGATGTGCCAAACATATTGTGAGAGATTGTCCTTTTTCAAGCAGACCGGCGCCACAGTATTGCTGCGCTTTGCTCGTCACCGCTGTTTCTCATTGCACAAAGAGTCTCAGCAAGTTTCGAGTCGGATGCAGCAAGAACAGGCGACGTTTGACTCAAGCCACGACTGTGGACGTCGTGAAATTCGAGGCGGGAACAAGCCAAGGAAGTCGGAGCAGCTCAGCTGTAATCATGCTCACTTGGCCCGTGTTCGCCCCTACAGCGCACGATGCAGTCCGTGCCGTTCTGCAGCTCGCGGCCGACTTTCCACTACCATTTGCAGTGCTCGCACTTCCAGGACAGCTACCAACACCGGGGTTTGGAGCGCTGCCCTGAAATGAGATTCGAAATTTGGCATCAGCTGAAGTGGACTTGCCTTAGGAGCCATCTTGCTGGCTGCCGGTTCAGCTAGTTGGGACCGATGCTGTCGCAATCGAAGCTGGGAGCTGAGTGCTACTAGTAGGATCACTGCAAAGGACGTGTTTATGATTCAACTCTGGAGACGGGGCATATGAATATCGAACGAGGCCTGAAACATGTACATCATGAAGCAGAAGATTCAGAAGAAGCTGGCTGGAAGACTTTGTATGGTGCCTTGTTTGCGGCCAGGCATTAGACCTACTGCAGACCGGAACACAATCTTCTCTCCAGCAAGCGTACGCACATGCAACGGGCGAAGAAACTTTGGCGCGTGGGACAGCAAGACGTTGCCACAGTGCATGTTTCTCACCCTGTTGTGATGATTGCAAGTGCAACAAACACGTGTGGTGTTTCAATGTGCCAAAAAAAATAAAAAAAAGCATGTTGAGAGCTCTTTTGTTGTGTTCGAATGCCCTTTCTCTTGGATCTGAAGGTGATGTGTTCAGGCCACCCGTGTTCGGCAGTGGGCTTGGCCTCTTGGTTGGAACCGGCAGCAGTGCGATGCTGACCGAAATAGCACGGGGAGCCCTGGCTTGATGGAAGAACGCCTCTGCCACAAAATCGTTTCAGTTACCGTTATTTGCTTTACATCATCTGGCCGCAATGCTTTTCTCAGAGGACTTTATGGCCACCACTTCCTCGCAGACTGCTTGGCGGTGGCCTGTGCTTCTTTCCTCATGGGAAGGCAGCTCAGCTGCTTGCTCAAGCTGCCAGAGCTAGTTCTCATGCGTTCTTATGCAATGCCGACCAAGACAGGCTGCATGGAGCACTTGGGATGAGCTGGCATGGTGCTTACATAGCATCCATTCTCCTGGTCCTTCTGCAGATTGCAACCTGCTTTGAAGAGCTTCGAGTCTTGACGACAGGGCTGCGAATGCCCTGTGTCCGCAAACAGGTCATTTGGAGCAACTGTTCATATTTCTCACAGGCGTCACTATGAAGTCATGGCCAATCATTGCCAAGGACTTGGTTCGTTGCGCTGCACTTCTCCGCCATTGCAGGCGTTTGCAAAGGCTGCCGGTACAGCACTTTGAGACCGAGCGGTTTCTTTACCGGATTCAAGAAGATACCCCGCGAAATTCCATCTACTCCAGTTTACGAGCTGCCTGCTAGCACTTATGGAATTGGTGTGATCACAAGGCAGAAGAGCGGCATTGGAATCACAACGCCTTGCAGCGAATGCTCAGATCCTTAAGGCCACAGTGAGTAAAGACACCTGTCTCCAGCATCCCATGTGCATGAGGTTGATTCCGCTTGTTGTGGTGGCAACGACGGTTTCTTTGATTGGTATGTCAAGCTACTGGTACTGGCCTTCCGGAGGGTTGCCGCTGCCAATGTCACCTGGCCGACCTTGAAGACTCTTGTGTCCCAGGAACTGCACCAACTATTTGTGATTCTCACTGGGTCTCACTGTTCTTTTTGCCTCTTTTCTTGAATAGCATGTGCAGACATATCTAAAAGCTTCGGAGGGTTCAGGCTGTGAGTTTTCTGGAATGTGGGAGGGTGGATATTTTGAATACCAAAGACACTGCGAAAGAATACCGAACATAGGTTTGGGGCACAACGTACGTCCCACATCCCCCAGGAAAAGTTGCTTAGCAAAGAAGTCCCGAAAGCTATGTCCTGGGGGGAGAGAGGGCGAGGAAAGTTTGTTTAGAAGATTCTGACGGGGCTCGTCCGGGAAAGCCATGAAAGTGCGAAGGCTTGAAGGCAGCGGCAGAGGGTTCTTAGACAGCTGCCAGTGGCCATCTGTAAATCTAAAGACCCTGACACTGCGTCCAATCTGGGTGCAGGTTGAGCTGGTCCTGCGAACCCCGGCGTTCATCTTGTCTCGTAGTTCCCTCATTTCGCCCCTGGCGAATCTCTGTTTACAGTTGCGGCCGATCATTGTCCAACTGAAGGTCAGTTACCGCTGGGTTGGTCGTCGTGTGCTCTGAGTTCTCCATGTTGATGATCTATCGCCGGCTCTCCCAGGAGCACTTTCTCATCACTTCAGCCCCTGACTTGCGAAAACATGCTGATCTTTGGGAAAAGACTTGCCAGGAAGACTATCGCTGGTGGTGGGCTTCCTACTGTTATGGAGCCTTCCTGTCCATTTGCTTCGATCTGTTCCGACTTTGGACTGACTGCGAGCCGTTCACAGACACTTCGGCCAGCATTGAGAGGAATTTAAAAACTGCAGTGGTGACGGGGCTCCCGGGAAGCCCTGTAAGAGAAGCCCCTCACCTGAGTTGCTGGAGAGCTTCCAGACTTTGCTCTTTGGAATGACAGCAAAACCTAAATTGAGTCTGCATAAGAGTTATTCATTGTTTAGTCGTCCCATCCAAATGGGCATCCCGTGTTCAATGTATACGCAGTGCAAACAACAACACGTACCTCCCAGCTGTGCTCACGCTGCAATGTCACGATGTCGACTAGACCGTCTTTCGCCTGAGCTCCGTTGTTTGTAAGTGTTGAAATGGCATGTACAGACAGTATTGAGTTCTTGTATCTTTTGCGTGGCAAAGCTTGTGCGGCAGGCGGGAAGGACGCTGTAGCAAGGTTGCGCTCATAGAGCTCTGTTAAGTGGCATGCCTTGATACGGAGTCCTACTTCGGAGCTACGGCACAGAACTTACCTCTCAGAAGCTTGTGCCTATCAGCACCACGAAAGACCTCAGGGCTCGAGTGATTGCAGCATATCGCAGCACTGCATAGCACTGCAAAGTGTCAGGATCTGCGCGGCGGGCCCTGCGGCGTTGCCAAGCTGGCCTCTGTACAGAAAGCGCTGATGACGGGGAGCTCATCCTTCCTGCTAAATTTGCGGATGATGCTCTTCACATATTCCAAGCTTGTATGTGATGACATCTGATGCTGCGGAAAGCACTGATTAGCAGCTACTTGGACCGAGCTGTGGTTCAAATCACGTTGCGCTTCGGATGCTGCCGCGATGGGATTGGTGTGAAAGAAGACGGGCGCGGCAGGTCGGACAAGGATGTTTTCTGAGATGACACTGGGCTCTGTCTTTTTCAGGGAGGGTGTCTGGCCAGATCACCAAGGCATTTGAGGGTGACTGCTGGGTGGTCACAACGCAGGCTTATGCAGCGACATGGGCAGAAAATTCAGCCGCGGTGAAACACCACAAGAGCCTTCGATTCGACGAAGGGGGGCGAGCTGGTGAAATGCGATGTCATGGCTCAGGGAGGCGCACGACTTGCCACCTTCAAGTTCCCGCAAGGTGAACATCGAGTCAGATCGAGTTTTTCGGGCCTTCTGAGCCATACAGGACGTTGGAAGAGCATGACAGCAAACCCCCGAGAAAAGCGAGAACAGCGCCAAAGGAAAATGCGAGATGCGGTGTGCCATGGTGTGCCATGGTGTGCCATGGTGTGCCCACTTCGCTCGTGTGTTTTGTTGTTGTTGTTGTGTTCGTCCACGCCCCTTTCTGCTTGTGCTAAGGGGGCGAACCTCTGCAACCATGAAGTCACAGAACGCCTGGGCCGCAGAGCGGAGATGTACGAAAAAAGGCTGTAGAAAGTTGCAGGGCTCTTGTGTGCTTGCCCTGCGTTGGGGGCACTCAGAGTGCGACCTGTGAGGCCCAAAACCCTGAACAGCGGAAATCCCAACCCTATCAAGTGTGCAGCCTAAAAGCCCTGCAAGTCGTTACCATGAACTCTCAGATAACCATAAACAACCCCTTAGCTCAAAAACATGCGCAGATCGCTGTTGACGGTAAACAGACGCAGATAGCCCAACAACAAGAAGCACATGCCATGCTAGCCTAGCTTAGCATCTCCAGAACCAGAGCTGGCTTTGAGGCCCCTCCCAGAAACGAGCTGGTGTCCAAAGGGATGCTGAATCGCCGAGTCGGGGGCCTCGGGTTAGCCTGAAAGTCGCATCGGTCGCGCGGCTTAGTACTTTGTAGCGCTGTGAATGTACCCCGGCAACCTGGCCCCAGAGACATCCTACAAGTGGAGCTAGTCATCTAGTCCAGTAGACGTGAATACGAAGTCTACGCCTACGCTGGGCGGTCCTGGCTTTCTTCTTCGGAACAGGTATCTCATAGCCTGCATGGAGAGATTCTTTAGCCTGAAAGGGCTTGGGGCCTTTGCTGCCCTTGTGCTTTGGATCAGCAACTGAACTGATTGCCGGTGGGGAATCGAACTCTTACGTGCAAGCAAATGCAAGAAAGAAACTCGCGCAAAACATGTGGACTACAGCTAAGCAGGAGCGGCGTGAAAGTTGGCACAGCAGATCTCTGGATGGCCACGTCCAGAAGGAGCTTCTTTTCATGTACGGAAAGGGTGTGTCTTGTGGATCTGGACACCCAGGGCATCTGAGACCCAGGGCATCTGAGACCCAGGGGGTCAATGCTCGGCAGTGCTGAGCCATTAAGCGCCTTTTTCTTTGTGATCAGGAGCCACGGCGCACAGCTGGAGCAGTTGGGCAGGTGCTCTTCCCATACAGCTGTCTCGGAGCCTTCTGTCCTGTGCATCAAGTCTGCGAGTGCCAGTGGGGAGCGGTTGTACCATTGAGCAGATCGTTTCTCCTGGCTTGAGCTGCTGCGGAAAGAGGTTTTAGTTGGGATTCCACACGCGCATGGTGTAGGAAGCCGCTGCTGCCACCGTGATTGGCGGCGGCAGCACATCCAATGAGGCAACGGCATGTCACAATGTGACTCACTTAAGCTCCTTAAACCTTAAGCCCCCCAGGTCTGCTCTCGGGGCAATGTGGAGTTTGTAGATCACCCCCAAGCCCGAGCAACTCACACGTAAATGCTCCTTCATTGCCGGCAAAGGTAGTTCAGTATCGCAGTGTCCTCTGGAGTGTTCCATTCCCCTGGCCAGTCGCTGTCACTGGCATCACTCCTCTGCAAGCTCGGAGTTGCCCTTCATGCATTGCGCTGGGCCCAGCTGAAGCTGCTCTCAGCTGATCTCAGCTTCCAGCTCAGTAATTATTTCTCAGGCTTCGGGTGTAAGTATAATTTCTTTGCCCCAGGCATGGCTTCAATTGCCAACAAGCAGTAGACGAGCTCTCATCGCTGCCAAAGAGGCAGGAGCTTGGCTAACTCGGGAGCCTGCGGTAAGTCGAAGCTGCGGCAAATGCTTCCAAAGCTACCTCCATCTGGCATCTCCTGCCTGCCCGAATACCCGAAGCTCAAACCGTGCTAGTTTTGTTTGCCTCGAAGCTTCGAAGCTTCAAGACATTTACATGTAATTGTTTGTTTTTATCCACTTCAGCTTGCTACACGCGGGCATGCCAGAACAGGCACTATGAGACTGGATACGTGTTGGATTTGGTGGGGCCCGGCTTCTCAGAAGCTCCATTATGCCCGGGCGCTCCTCTTTTTGCCCTGGTGCATAAGGCTTAGTCACTTTGAAGCCGCGGACTACAAGAAGTCCGAGCTTGCATACAATCAGGCAGAGACTCTTCTGCAGAGTTCCCGGTAGAGACTTCGGAGCTTCAACCCCATCATGTCCCATCACCGGCAGGCTTGGAGAGTGGAGCCACATCGGGTGGAAGGAGGGCTCCCCACAATGCAGTTTGTTCACCCTCGCCCTTGTTTTGTTTGCTCTGCGGTCGACCACTGTGATTATGTTGCTGAGTGGGCGGACCTTAGTGAGTCAGTCCCGGGCCCGCGACGCCACCGCAAAATGAGAAGCACGCCCTTTTGTGGCGACCCGTGTTCTTTGTTGCTGTGCGGTCGCACACTGGGATGATGTACAACCGCGCTCAACCCATGCCCAGGTGGTCCGGCGCCCGCCAGATCCCCCCCAAGAAACAGCAAAAAGAACAGGCAGGGCCGCCGAAACAAGGAGCAAATAGAGGCCCCCCTATCAAGACAGAAGCTTCCTTTTTAAAGAATAGAGCGAATATGCCTGAGTGGAAAAAGATGTTTCCCTATTCTGTAGAAAAACAATACAAGTGACAACGGTTGACCGCTCAAAACATAGAAGAAATAGAGGTGTCCTGGTTTATCGTAGAGGCAGCAGAGGGAAACAGTAGAAGTCATTGAGGTTTTCTTGAGATAAATAGGAAACAGAGGGCCTGGAAAATGTAGAGGTAAAGGAGATATCCTATGAGAAAATTAGGCGAAGTAGAGGTTTCTTAGGAAAGCATAGAGGAAATATATTTTTTATGGTTTCCTTAAGAAAGATACCCCCCCCCTCTCCCCCCAAAACCACAAAAGAGTGCTGAACAAAAAGTTCCACGCCCCACCCCACCCCAGCCGGCACAGCAAAGACGACTGCACATGACAAACGCGCCTCGGCCTCGGCACAGCCAAAAACGACTGCACAGCAAAACAAAATGCGCCGGAGCACGACGACGGCGCAGTCAAGAAAAGCGCCTCGCCCTCAAGCAACAAGAAGCGATCGCACACCCCGCTTTAGCAAAAGACGAGAGCACGGCAAAAAGCGCGTGCTCGAGCTTTGGCCTTTGGGCCACGTGCGCATACACACACAGACACGCAGACACGCAGAGACGCTGAGACGCAGAGACACGCACACGCACAAGCACACGCACACCCACCCGCAACACAAACCCCACTGCACAGTACACAACAAACGCGCCTGAGCCTATCAGAACGGGTTGGGTTTGTCTTGCCGTCGTTGGTGCGCTGTCGACAACCGCAAAGGAGAGCCACGCGCAGGAATTAACGAAACCAACCGAAGACGACTGTAAGGCAAAACCGACGCCACATGGCCCAAAACCCTAGACCCTAAAACATAAACGGCCGTTTACCACAAGCTCGTGTTGGGTCTAAGTAGAGTCTAGCCGCCGCTTTCGATCCAGGACTGGAGTACTACTCCTCTGCCTTGTGGCACCTTCGCAGGGATGTGGAGCTTTGTCGGGCTCTGAGAATGCAACATCTTGCAGCATCTTGCCTGCTGCCATCACTGCCCACAGCAGTCCATATCAGTCCATATCAGTCCATATCAGATATCCTTCGGAGGTAGATTGGCGCAACAATGCATGCAGTGGGTCTGGGCCTGATATCGGCACAGCTGTTCAGGGCCGCCTGCATATTTGGGCGCATTCGCATCTGGCAGTAGAACCAAGGACCGCCTCAGACCCCAAGTGTGGTGCGTGGTGGGAAACTGCTTTAGGCAAGCAAGTAAGCGGTTCTTGTCGCAAACAATCTTTCATCACATGACCATGCGCACCCCTGCCAGTTTGCAAAAAGAGCACGATGCTGCCATCAAGCTGTTCAAGCGTGCCATACAGGCATGTCTCATATTGGACGAGCTAGGCATGTCTGGTGTGCTTGACTCTGAGCCAGATGTGTACAAAAGGTCGACTCCGCGTTCACCTATGCTTACACGCTGTGTGGTCATGAATTTGTGGCCAGCGAGAAGATAGACAAGGCACGGGCAGCGTCACAGATGTGAACGGATTCTGTCTTCCAGTCTGCAGGCAGTAGCCATGTACGAGAACGCATTGAACCTTGACCCACGGCATTACAATGCCTGGCACAGGGCTCAACACGCGGCAGCTCGAAGAAGCATCAGCCGACATGTGGTAAATGTGGTAAGGTGGGGTCTCGGCAACATTTACCATCGCCAAGAAGAGCATGAGAATCTCGGATGTCTCGGGAGAGGCACAAATGTGACAGCAATGCGACACCGCGCCTTCGGCTTGACCTTCGACTTGGCCTTGTGGAATCTTAGGAATGCGAAGTATCACTTCTACAAGGCAGGCCTTGCTTTTGTGAGACAACCATGAGCCATCGAAAAGCCATCGAGCGTAAGGCCCTCCAGGTGAATGCCAGCAACTCAGTCCTTCGATGCTACCTGGGCATGGCCAGCAACTGAGGCTTTCTTTGGAGCTGTGGAGCTTCGCCTGTTGTCAAGCCGACTCGCTCAACGTGAGTGTGCTTTGCTGAAGTTTGCTCAGGTGCTGAGCGCGTTAAAGCAGCCGCTGCTGGCACTGGACAGCTTTGACCAGGCAGTCATGCGTTGTTTTTCAGGTATTGTTGCTGGCTGCTCCATCGCATGTCATGCTCTACTAAGTATACAGGCAGCCCAGACAGAGCCACAGAACGGCATGGCGTGCGCCGTATGCCTTTAACTTCCTCGTCTCATGTCTAAATTTACTCACAGTGGCTCTGGAGGTACTTCCAAAAGGCATGCGTCCTCATAAGCTTGGAGAGATACGACGAAGCCCTTGCTGATCTGAAGAAGGATGGGGTCCAAATGGAGCTCCGATGTTCACTCTTCAGTGGCTCCCCAACACGCGACAAGCTTGAAAATGTTGGCAGGTGCGCTGCTTAGCTCCAAAGGAGGCTTGCGTGCACTTCCAGCTAGGTAAGGCCGGAGCAATCTCACAGCGCTGTGCGCCCTGGAAGCAGCATCATTCCACGAAACAAAGAGTTGGAGCAGGTCTACATGAAGCTGCAGAAGGACAGGAAAGCTCTTTACCATTTTAACATTGCCGGGAAGCACAGCTCATCCCCTCGTGGCTTTTTCAGATGCACCACATGACATCAGTTGAGTCAGTTGAGGCCATGGACCTGAACCGCGACTCGAAGGCAGGGGTTCACTGCTCGGCCGGATTTACGGGAATGCCGGCGTTTCACAGGACTACCACACCATCAAGACGCACATCGAAAAGCTGGCCAGGAGCTTGGGATTCTACGCTGCCTTGCGCAGCCCTGCTTGTCATGATCCTGCTGCCTGCGACGGCTATTACTTCCACCGCATTTCCTGCTTTGTTTCTGTTGCTTTTGCTGCTTCTCTTTCTTCCTGCGATGTCTAGAACCGTGCAGCTCTCAAGCCTGTTGGGCTTACAATGCTTACACTCGTTCGCAACATGTATATGATCGAGAAGTGGTAACTTTCCGGTGTGCTTTGTCAGAAGGGTCCCTAGCCATCCGATTTCATTGATATATTCAGAGCAGAAAGTATCTGGCCTGGTTTTCATTCAAGCCCAAAAGATGTTTGCATCAGTCATGTGGCAGCATGCTTGAAGTGTGCTTTGTATCCGATTGACGTGGCAGCACATCCGGGGCATCAGCGAGGAATCGACAGGCCGGCAGCCACCAAAAGAAACGCGGGCAGTAGGTCCCTTTGTACGGGTGAAAATGATGATTCATGCTGATGACTTGCCTGCAGCAGGAGAAGCCTCTACTGGCGCAGGAGCGCACAGGCGCGGAAGGGCAAACATGAAATTCTGGCCGCTCTATAGGAAAGGCACCAGCGACGGAGTGCAGCCAAAGTGCCAGGGGAGTGGTTAGGGGTCACCCTTCGCAGGATCATGAGTGCTGCCCCACCAGGTGGGGAGCTCACCATGAGGGAGTGATTCAGAGACACATGCTGGCACAAACGTGCTGTTTTGACAGTTCTGGTGACGGGTGGCCTTTCCTCACCTGTGGCTGCTGCGCAGCTGTATGGTTCTCCTGGCACGTGGAATGAATTAGAACGATGTGGTGTAGAGTGGTGTACAGTGTCAACGCGGCCAAGCTTTACACATCTCAACTCTTTCCACGTTTGGTATGAGAAAAAAAAGAGGCATAAAGCTCCCCAGCAACAACCCTTAAGCCACATCTGCCAGGTCTGAGCCCTGGCTCTCGGCCAGGCTCAGAGGCTCCACAGACGCCGGCAGTGCGAGGTTCGCAAGTCTAGGGATGTCAGTCGCACTTTCAAAGTCCAAAAGGGGGCCTTCTTGAGCAAGGTGTTACAGGAGGCTTCTGGAGCGCGAGTGCGAGTGGTAGCGGAGGCACGGCAGATCACAGAAGCCGTTTCAAATTCAGATCCAACTGGCTCAGAGCTGCGCGAGTGGCTGAGACAGGCCCACCAGAGCGAGTTCGAGCATATCCTGTCACAGCTCAACGTGTGCTGCCCGGACTCTTGTATACTGTTGTCGTCTGCTCACCAGCACAAATCGTACATGGATGCCGATCTTCATGTCGGACCCAACGGTGGGAAGCTGTTCTGAGTCGCTGCTAAGTTCACACCTCTTTGCCCGGCTTCTGATGAGGTGGTCGTGGTAGTCCCCTTTCTTGGGGCTGCTTGGCTGCGAGCAACTCCTACAGTTTACGTAAGTTTTTTCGGGGGGTGGAGGGAGGAGCGTTTCTGCTTCGACCGGAGTCAAAGGCAGGCCTGTCCCGCTGCACACTGCAGGTGGACACGCTCAGACACTCTCAGCAGACTGCAACCCAAACCCTCAAACCCAACTCCCGAATACCCGAACCACTCCGAGTTATGGCTTTTCCTTGTTGTTTTTTCAGGCAGCCCGGGCAATACTGGCGGCCTGCAGGGTTCCAGCGGCTTCCGCATTTGAGAGCAGTGCCAGGCACTGAAAGCTTAGGCTATTTTTTGGGGTCAGTGTCCTGACTTGCATACACCATGTAACTAAGTAGTCAGCAACTCGATCTTGGGACATGCTGCATGACTAGTTCCAGGGGCGCTCATGTGCACCCCCAGTTAACACGAAATGGCTGAGTCATTGCTGCAACGAGCTGAGGTGCTCCTTTGCTGAGTATTGCATTCGCGGCCCCTCGAAGTTGGCGTTGTTTCGGCAACATGCAACTCGTGCGTAACAAGCAGTCGGAGCCGGACCTGAATGCGCGAATTAGCGTTGACAAAAAAGCAGTGTGCGGCAAGCCTGAGTGCAGAACGTGGTTGGATCTGTTTGTCTGTACTGCGGGGCGGCGATGGATTTGTCGGTCACGGATGGGAGGCCCGCTTGGTTGATTGTTTTTGCTAGTGGCTCTTCTACTGCAAGATCACTACCTGGTTTTTTTGGAAGCATAATTAGTATGTCCGTGCTAATCGGAGGCGTAAAGAACTGATTGGTAGCAGTTGCCCCAAGCTGCTCCGGTCAGTGTCCTTAGCAATGCCTGCCAAATTTGCTTTACACCATAACCTCGTCCATGTTTAGCATGTGTGGCGATTCTGCTTGATTTTGCACGTAGCACAGCTGCTTCGGATCTCCATCCCCTTTTGGTGGATCGTGATTCGCTCTGTAACCACTGAGGTTGCTCAGAAATGTTACGTAGATTGCACTGTCGAAAAGAGATGGTCATGAGAAGTGGTCGGGTTGGGTGAACCTCGCAGGGGGTCAGGCTCGCCATCCTGGCGGTGCGATGTGTAATCCGGAAGAAATGGTGAAAAGGAAAGTGTTATGATGTGACTCATGTGGTTTGCTAGAGTGGTGGTCCGGTGGTGGTCCGAAAACTCCTATGGGGCGTCATGTTGACACCTGGCAGTAGCCTCACTCCTCGTGGGTGACTGGCGGGAGCTGCTTGCGTGTTGTCGCCCATGTCGCCCATCGGCTCGTCTTCCTGCTTGGTGCCAGTGGGTGGTCCTTGCTTGCATTTGGATTACGCCTACTTTTCGTCGTACCCGGAGTGGTCGTATTCGGAGGCCGCTGGATGCCCCACATTGGCCAATAAAAAGAAACTGAAGGTCTCCTTGTCTTGCAGGCGCCTGTGGATGGTGAGCTGCCTTTTGTCATGCTCAGCGGGCTCCACTCCCCATTGTGTCATACTCCCCTAACTCCCGGAGAAGCTTATTTTAAGGGGCTGCGCCCATGGGCGGGCAGCGCACGCAGAAGCCCGGGGCGAGCAGTTTCTAAGCATGTTGAGGCCCCTAAACTCCCTTAAAATCTCTAAGCATTAAGTTTCTAAGCATTTTCAGGCCCCTAAACTCCCTTCAAATCTCTAAGCGTTTGAGGCTCCGAGACTCCCTTAACGTTTCTAAGCACTTTATAAGGCCCCTAAACTACCTTTTTCCTAGCCCCGGGCTTAGACACGTCGCTTATGCCCGCCCTTTGGGGGGCATCATGCTCCTGATGCCCCCCCGCGGTCCCGCCCCGGGAGCCGCTGATGCTCCTGATGCGCGCCTGGGGGTCCCGGCCTGGACCCGCTGATGCTCATGATGCGCGCCCTCTGGGGGCCTCCGTGGCGACGCAAAAAACCACGAAAAAAAAACCGTTCACCGGCGGCACGCGGGGGTCGGCGGCACTGGCGTCCGGCCTAATTCTGCTTCGCAGAAGGCCAGAGGCCAGCAAGGCTATTCCCGGGACGACCCGGGCTAAAAGGTCCGCATTTGCTCGGTCCTTTGGGGACCTCGCGCTGCCCGATTTAATGGCTACCGCCAGTGCCGCCGACCCCCTCCAAGGGGGGCCAAGGCACTGTGGGCTCCGTGGCGGGGAGCGGGTGCGTGGGTGGTGGGGGTAGGGGCGGAGGGGAGCCATGGGGCCAGGAGCCATGGGTCCATGAGGGGCATGGGCGGCGGGGCAGGGTGCGTGAGGGGTAAGGGGTAGGGAGCTGGGTCCATGAGGGGTAGGTCAAGGGGATGGAGAGTGGGAGCATGGGCCAAAGGAGAGTGAGTAGGCGGAGCTGGAAGGGCGGAGGGCGGAGCGGGCTGAGCGGGCGGAGCGGGCGGAGGGCCCGGGCATGCACTGGGGCCTTTAAAGTCAGCTGAGAAGCCACATCCATGGGCCGTGGACCATGAGCCATGGGGAGCCATGGGGCCAGGAGCCATGGGCCATGAGGGGGATGGGTGCGTGAGGGGTAAGGGGTAGGGAGCTGGGTCCATGAGGGGTAGGTCAAGGGGATGGAGAGTGGGAGCATGGGCCAGAGGGGAGTAGGCGGAGCTGGAAGGGCGGAGGGCGGAGCGAGCGGAGCGGGCGGAGCGGGCGGAGCGGGCGGAGCGGGCGGAGCGGGCGGAGGGCCCGGGCATGCACTGGGGCCCTTTAAAGTCAGCTGAGAAGCCACATCCATGGGAGCAAGGGGCCCATGACAAGCACGGGCGGCGGGGCAGGGTGCGTGCGGGGTGGGGGTGGGGGTTGCGTAGGCGGAGCTGGAAGGGCGGAGGGCGGAGCGGGTGGAGGGGCGGAGCGGGCGGAGGATGCACTGGGGCCCTTTAAAGTCAGCTGAGAAGCCACATCCATGAGCCGTGGACCATGAGCCAATGGGGCCAGGAGCCATGGGTGGGGTGTGTGGGGGGTGGGGGTGGGGGTTGGAAGTGTGGGTGGGTGGGGGTGTGGCAGGGTGCGTACGGTATGGGGGTGGGGGTTGGGGGTTGGGGTGGAGCAGGGGCCATATATAGGACCAGCATTGGCAGCCATGCAGGTCGAGGGATGAAGAATGGGACCAGGAGGCAATGGCGCCAGGAGCCATGGGTCCAGTGGGGGGGCGGGGTGCGTGGGGGGTGGGGGTGGGGGTTGGAAGTGTGGAAAGGGTGGGGTGTGCGGGGGTGGGGGTTGGGGGTGGGGGTGGAGCCATGACGCCAGGAGCAAGGGGCCCATGACAAGCACGGGCGGCGGGGCAGGGTGCGTGCGGGGTGGGGGTGGGGGTTGCGGGCGGGGGTGGAGCAGCTCAAGGGATGAAGAATGGGACATGGGTCCATGAAAAGCATGGCGGGGTGCGTGGGGGGCTTGGGCAAGGGGAATGCATGCGGAGCGGGAAGGGCGGATGGGCGGCAGGGTGCGTGAGGGGTAAGGGGTAGGGAGCTGGGTCCATGAGGGGTAGGGCAAGGGGATGGAGAGTGGGAGCATGGGCCAAAGGAGAGTGAGTAGGCGGAGCTGGAAGGGCGGAGGGCGGAGCGGGCGGAGCGGGCGGAGCGGGCGGAGCGGGCGGAGGGCCCGGGCTTGCACTGGGGCCTTTAAAGTCAGCTGAGAAGCCACATCCATGGGCCGTGGACCATGAGCCATGGGGAGCCTTTACAGTCAGCGGAGAAGCCACATCCATGAGCCGTGGACCATGAGCCAATGGGGCCAGGAGCCATGGGTTCAGTGGGGGGCGGGGTGCGTGGGGGGTGGGGGTTGGAAGTGTGGGTGGGTGGGGGTGGGGGTTGGGGGTTGGGGGTGGCAGGATGCGTACGGTATGGGGGTGGGGGTTGGGGGTTGGGGTGGAGCAGGGGCCATAATAGGACCAGCATTGGCAGCCATGCAGGTCGAGGGATGAAGAATGGGACCAGGAGGCAATGGGGCCAGGAGCCATGGGTCCAGTGGGGGGGCGGGGTGCGTGGGGGTTGGAAGTGTGGAAAGGGTGTGTGGGGGTGGGGGTTGGGGGTGGGGGTGGAGCCATGACGCCAGGAGCAAGGGGCCCATGACAAGCACGGGCGGCGGGGCAGGGTGCGTGCGGGGTGGGTGGGGGTTGCGGGTGGGGGTGGAGCAGCTGATGAAGAATGGGATCAGGAGCCATGGGTGCATGAAAAGCATGGCGGGGTGTGTGGGGGGCTTGGGCAAGGGAATGTATGCGGAGCGGGAAGGGCGGATGGGCGGGGAGCGGGTGCGTGGGTGGTGGGGGTAGGGGCGGAGGGGAGCCATGGGCCAGGAGCCATGGGTCCATGAGGGGCATGGGCGGCGGGGCAGGGTGCGTGAGGGGTAAGGGGTAGGGAGCTGGGTCCATGAGGGGTAGGTCAAGGGGATGGAGAGTGGGAGCATGGGCCAAAGGAGAGAGGCGGAGCTGGAAGGGCGGAGGGCGGAGCGGGCGGAGCGGGCGGAGCGGGCGGAGGGGCCGGCATGGAATGGGGCCTTTAAGTCAGCTGAGAAGCCACATGCATGGGCCGGCCAGGAGCCATGGGTCCATGAGGGGCATGGGTGCGTGAGGGGTAAGGGGAGGGGTAGGTCAGAGAGTGGGAGCATGGGTTAGAGGCGAGTAGGCGGAGCTGGAAGGGTCAGAGCGGGAGGGCCCGGGCATGCACTGGGGCCCTTTAAAGTCAGCTGAGAAGCCACATCCACGGGAGCAAGGGGGCCATGACAAGCACGGGCGGTGGGGCAGGGTGCGTGCGGGGTGGGGGTTGGGGTTGCGGGAGGGGAGTAGGCGGAGCTGGAAGGGCGGAGGGCGGAGCGGGCGGAGCGGCGGAGGGCCCGGGCATGCACGGGGGCCTTTAAAGTCAGCTGAGACCACATCCATGAGCCGTGGATCATGAGCCAATGGGGCCAGGAGCCATGGGTTCAGTGGGGGGCGGGGTGCGTGGGGGGTGGGTTGGGGCGGAGGAGCGGGCGGAGCGGGCGGAGGGCCCAGGCATGCACTGGGGAGCAGAGCGGGCGGAGGGCCCAGCATGCACTGGGGCCTTTAAAGTCAGCTGAGAAGCCACATCCATGGGCCGTGGACCATGAGCCATGGGGAGTCATGGGGCCAGGAGCCATGGGTCCATGAGGGGCATGGCTGTGTGAGGGGTAAGGGGTAGGGAGCTGGGTCCATGAGGGGTAGGTCAAGGGGATGGAGAGTGGGAGCATGGGCCAGAGGGGAGTAGGCGGAGCTGGAAGGGCGGAGGGCGGAGCGAGCGGAGCGGGCGGAGCGGGCGGAGGGGCCGGGCATGCACTGG